GGCAGGGGCAGGGGCAGGGGCAGGGGCAGGGGCAGGGGCAGGGGCAGGGGCAGGGGCAGGGGCAGGGGCAGGGGCAGGGGCAGGGGCAGGGGCAGGGGCAGGGGCAGTGGCAGTGGTGGCTATCATTACAGGGCAGCAGCTACAAATGTAGATGGATTAGCTGAGAAGGCCTCGTTCTTATCAGCAAGAAGTGAGGTGTGTTCAGTTGCCAGGCATGGTGACAAAAGTCAGCTAGCCAGTCTACAGCTAACACCAGGAGCAAGAACAGTTTTCTCTGACAGCAAGCGCTTCAGGCTTGTAGATCTAATGAACACCAGCCAGATGACTAGCCCAGAGGAGGGGGGGGGATGCTAAGTTCAGCAGTAGGGCTTTGATGGCTCTCATTTTGTCTCATCTCTATCTTGTCTTTATTGTTTACACATAATTCAGAATTCCAATGATGTCTGAAGATTTTAGCTTAAAGTCTAAAAGGAGTGCTTCTCAGGCCCTAGCCCACAGCTTTGGGTTGGCATAGTGGCTACACATGGGGCAGAGACAGCATGAGAGGCTGGCAGTATGCATTCTTACTTCAGCATGTGGCTGCCTGGTACTCTAGGGGGACCAGAAGAGAGAGTGGAATGCCCGGAAGTTACAGAGGGTTGTGAGCCATGTGGGCGCTGGGAATTGAATCCTGGTCTTCCGAAGAGCAGTCAAGTGCTCTGAACTGTTGATCGAGTTCCCCAGCTCCCAGCTCTGTTACGGGCATTCTTGACTTTTGTTAGATCCATTATGTGTGTGTCTTCCTGCCGAAGCTGGAATTTCAAGTTAGGAAATAAGGTTTCCAGAGTTAATCCTACATTGTGGGGTACTAGTTTGGAGCGAGTTCTAGCGAGTATGGGAGTGTTATTCAGCAGACACATAAGAAGCTCAGCCTGGAACTATTAGTGAGGGAGTTAAGTTAGAAGGTAAGAGGGCTATCATTCAGGGGACATTATCTCCTCCCAAGAAAGGTACTTGGGAAATTGTGAGAGAGCCTCAGTCACTTAAAATTGAGGGACTGAGGGAATGTTTCAGGGGTACAGTTGGGTGGGATATCCAGGGTCAGAGCAACCTGAGGATGTTGGGAAGGACGAATACTTTAAAAAAAAAATCCGTTTTCTGTAAAAAGCCAACCAGGGGTCTGGAGCTATAGTTCAGTGATTAAGAGCATTTGCTGTTCTTGCAGATGACTGGGTCAGGTTCCTGGGATCCATATGGGGAATCCCTCCGTTTCTGCTGCCCTCAGCGAGTATCTGGCACGCATCTGGGACCTGGGTCACAGACATACATATGCGTGAAAAATGCTCAAACACATTAAAAAAAAAAAAAAAAAACCAACTTCCAGGCCTTCATACTGCCTTCTTCAGACAGAAAGGTAGGGGTAGGTAAAGGATTTAGAATCCACCTCCTCCCGCCAGTTGTCATGGAGACCAACCTCAGTCTTTTCATTCTTTCTGGTACTGGGAATGAAGTCTTAGCACAAAGAAAGAGTGCCTGTATTGCAGACTGTAGTGCGGCCCCTACTGCAGCTATAGAACCAGACCCAGGGACAAAGGCAAGGTTAGTTGCAGCTCAGAGTTCTTCCTTCTGCTAACACTTCTAATAGCTTCGGGGGCTCTATTGGAGGGGGGAGAAAGGAGCGATTCATGAACACCGAGGAGATACTAGACTCTAGACTCCGTAGAGTTCTAGGGAGAAGGGGAGCAGCTTGGCCACCGCTTTCGTGGATGCGCAAGAGAAGACACCCCTCACCCAAATCCTTTGGGCCCCTCCACCATCGCCCCCTGCCTGCGCTAACCCCGCCTGCTCCGCTCACCCTGAGTGACGGTCATTGGATAGTGGTGCAGTCTCTTCAGCTCGAGTCTGGAATCTTATTGGACAACAGCTTTGGCACCCGCCCCTAGCTAGCTCGGATTGGCTCGCTGCACGTTGGCGCAACGGAAGAGGCGGCAGCCGGCGTGCGCCTGCGCTCCAGCGGGCTGCGAGGAGGCGGCAAGGCGGCGCTGGGGGGCTGGCTCGGGCGGCAGCGGCGGCTGTTGCGGATGGGAGCGGGCCGGTTTGGCGCGCCTATGGAGCGCCAGGGCAGGGCTGCCGCCACCTCAGCCGTGTCCGGCGAGTCTGCGGACTCCGAAGCGCGGAGGCGGGAGCCGCTAAGGCGCCGGGCGAGTAGCGCGGCGCCGTCGGGGTCCGGGGCAGCAGAGAGCATAAGACGGGAGCGGCCCGGCTCCCTCGGCGGCTCCACCTCGGCCGCCCGCCCGCGCGCCGAGGGCCTCCGGAAGAGGCGGCCGCGTAAGTGCCCCGGCACGGCCGTCGTTGTTCGCGCGCCAGCGGTGCCCGCCCGTGGGCTCCCCGCCACTTCCTCCCTGTCCCCTGGGGCGTTCTTTTCCTGAGACTCCCTCTTTTTACTTGAGGAAGCTCCTCTCCCAAGACACTGTGAATCCTTCATCGCGCTCACAAATTAAGCCTTTTATAATGGCGATTTGGAGCTTAGGAGAAAATGCCCCTGAAGCACAGCAGGCCCAAAATTCGACTCTGGGCTCGGCACGCTTCTAAGCTTTGCTCGCTTTTCTTCCCAAGAGAATTCAGGTCATCTCGCACCCAGAGGTTTTTCCCCGTTTCCGTTCCGTTACTTCACGGGAATTCCGGTTTCAGCTGTAGCATTCTGTGCAGTAAGGCCTTTTCTTTGGAGGGAAGTCGACCTGTTCCTCAGTTACTCTTAAGCCTAGGGAGTTACTCTTTACAGAGACTCGTTTCTCATTTTATTACCAATTTGTGTTTCTTGCCTTGTGTATTTTCTCCCCTTTAAGGCCTTTTAAGGCCGTTGTCTAGCAGCCATGACTACTGTTGAAAGTGTCAATTGTCCTAATACTGTAATAGGAACTTTACAGTATAGCCCTGTTTTTACTTGTGGTTAAGACTTGGATATCAGATTACCTTATGAGGAAGGTAAATGCTGAGTGCAGGCTGTGAGAGTTATGGAAAATGGCTTGATGTGTGAGGTCTGTTGGATAGTTTGTGCCCAGCCTTATCCCACTCACCCAGTTGCATTTGAGAGATTGGATGTAGCTCTGTTTTGCCATGGAAAGTTTGGGGATAAATGTATATATAATATTTTATATCATTATATGTATATACTTTTCTCGACTTGCAAGAGATTTGATACCAGCCACTTGGGAGGTGAAGGCAGAGGGATGTGAAGTTTACCCTGTCCTAAAAGAAAAAAGGAAAACAGGTTTTCAAAGTATTCCTGTTGTAAAGTCGTTTACTTATTTAACATGTGTATCAGTGTATTGGTGTAGGTCAGAGGGCAGCTTTCTCCAGTCCTGGAGATGGAGCCCAGGTTGTCAGGCTTGAGGGCAGTCTTACTGACACTGTTGAATTGCCAGGCTGGCCCCTCCTCAGGCCAGCCCTCCTCCAGCCGCCTTAGCTGGGTTTGAACAGTGCCACTGCCAGGCTCCCCTTCACTCTCACCTTTCTTTCAGTTGTGTGTTGGAACACGGGGCTTTGTACATGCTGTAAATGTTCTGTTTCTGACTGTATCTAATATCTCCAGTCCAAGCACCTGAGTTTTGTTTTTGTTTTGAGACAGTCTCATATTCCAGGATGGCCTTGAACTCCTTATCCTCTAGTCTACTTCCCAAGTGCTGAGATTATAGGCCTGTGCGACAAGCACCTGGTTTTTAAGCAACACAAAAACCTGAAGTTCCTTTGTGGGTTTGTATTACATTAACATGAGTGTCAATTTTAGAGGTTTAATGTGACAGTTAGCCATATGTAGATGATTATGTCACCCAATTTGCAGTGTTGTTTTGGATTAGTTGTTTGTGAGTCTAGCACAGTTCAGCCTGATGAGCTCCTGTGGTAGGTATGTGGTGATAGTCTGTTTCACTGACCAGAAAAATGGTGCCCAGTGACAAGTAACTACTCTGGTGGAATATAAATGAAATTGAGAAATTTTAGCCTTTGTGCTTTTCCGCCTATCTACTGTTTTACTGAATTTTTTTTCCTTTGCTTTAGATCAAACAAACATGATTTGTGTGTGTGTTCAAGGCTGTCTTTGGAAAAGTTGTGACTACCAAGCACTGAATGTAAAAATGCCCTATAGGGCTGGGGAGATGGCTTGGTCAGTAAATTGCTTGCTTCCGAACCTAGGTAAAAAAAAGCTAGGGGTATAGTGGCTTGTGGCTGTGATGGCCACGTGGGAGAGCAGACAGATCCCTAGAAATTCACTGGCTACTTAGTCTAGCCTACTGGGCAAAGTTCTAGGCCAGTGAGGCACACTAGCTCAAAAAAGAGAGGGCACTTGAGGAGCTATACCATGCACACAAATGAACGTTAATTTGCAGTTGCACATTTTCACACTCGTGGAGAGTTAGAGCACAAATTGCTGGGCCCAGTTCAGTAGTTGGTGTAAGAAGTGGAGAAGTGAGGTGGCAGCTCAGCAAGCCAGAGGTACAAGCAGGCAGATTCCTGAGTTCGAGGCCAGCCTGGTCTGTAGAACAAGTTCCAGGACAGCCAGGGCTACACAGAGAGACCCTGTCTCAAAACCCAAAAAGAATCTAGTCAGATGCAGGCCTTTAATCTTAGGACTCAGGAGGCAGAGGCAGGTGATTATCTGTGTTCAAAAGACAGCCTGGTCTACAAAGGGAGTTGTTCCAGGACAGCCAGGGTTGTTACACAAAGAAACCTTGTCTCCCCAAAAAAAACCCGACGAGAGAAAGAGAGGGGAGGGGTGGGAGGGAGGAAGAAGAGGAGGAAGAAAAGAGGAGAAGGAATATGAATCTTGAGAGGTGTTGAAGATGCTGCCTTAGCCAGGGCTACCTAGAAAAACAGTTTCAAAAAATCAAAACAAAAAAAAGCTGCCTTACAAATAAATAAGTCATTCAGATCCAAGCTATTCAAAGAAAATTCTGAAACACATTTGGGAGTGTTAAATTACTGTGGTCTCAACTTTTTGAAAGTGCTAAGTAGACAAAGCTTGAGTTTGTGTATTTTTTGAGATTGTGTTTTATGTTTCCCAAGGTGATCCTCAGACTTTATGGTTAAGGATGTCCTTGAACTTTTGATTCTCTTCACCTCTTGAAGGCTGGGATTATTGGGTTTTTTTTTTTTTTTTGGTTTTTTTTTGTTTTTTTTTTTTGTTTTTTTTGTTTTTTTTTTTTTTGGTTTTTGAGACAGGGTTTCTCTGTATAGCCCTGGCTGTCCTGGAACTCACTCTTGTCTTTTTTTTTTGTTTTGTTTTTTTGTTTTTTGTTTTGTTTTGTTTTTCGAGAGAGGGTTTCTCTGTGTATCCCTGGCTGTCCTGGAACTCACTCTGTAGACCAGGCTGGCCTCGAACTCGGAAATCCGCCTGCCTCTGCCTCCGGCTGGGATTATTGTTTTTTTTTTGTTGCTATGTCTGGTTTGTCTGGTGCTGGGGTTTGAACCTAGGGCTTTTTGTATGTTAGGCAAGCATTCTACACACTGAGCTGTATCTCTTTTTTTCTTTCTTTCTTTCTTTCTTTCTTTCTTTCTTTCTTTCTTTCTTTCTTTCTTTCCTCCCTCGCGCCCGCCCTCCCTCCCTCCCTCCCTCCCTCCCCCCCTCCCTCTCTCCCTCCCTCCCTTCCTTCCTTCCTTCCTTCCACGTTTAAACAAACCACAGACATTTACTTACTAATTTGTATATTTACTTAATTTGTTGTGTTATGTATTTGTGTGTATGTAATGGCACATACAGGGAGTTCAGAGGACAACCTGTGGGAAATGGTTCTCTTCTACTTGGTGAGTTGTGGGAATTGAACTCAGGTGGTCATGTTTGGAAGCAGGCATTTGTACCCACTGACCTATCTTGCCAGCCTCTTGATTTCTTTATTATTTTCTAATATGGTGTCTGATATTGGCCATATTCCTTTTCTTTGCTTTTTCTGATTGTATGACAAATCATGAAAGACCATATTTCAGATAATGAATGTGCTGAAGAAACAATTTTGTTTTTATTGGGGAGATGGTCTTAAGTGTAGCTCAGGCTGGTCTTGAACTCATAATTCTCCCGCTTCAGCTTTCTGAGTGCTAGGATTACAAAGAAAGGCACCACTTCAGGATGCTAACAAGATATTGGCTTTTTTTTTATCCCACCATTTGATCTTCTGTACTACCCAAGGCTGCCCTGCTAGATGGAGAATGCAGTTTGTTGGCTGTTGAACCCTTCCAAGAGTGTACTTTAGTCATACTTCCCAGAGAGTCCACTGGTAACTAAATAATTCTTTGTCTCTATTGGAAAGCCATCTGAGGTTAGAAACACTTGTTTTATTGTCTTTATACTATTCTTTCCTTTCTCTCTCTTAATCTCTCCCTCTCTTTCTCTTTTTCTTTCTCTCCTCTCCTCTCCTCTCCTCTTTCTTTCTTTCTTTCTTTCTTTCTTTCTTTCTTTCTTTCTTTCTTTCTTTCTTTCTTTCTTTCTTTCTTTCTTATCAGAGGCATGTTGCCATCATGCTTAGGTAGTTGAAACTAGAAGGAGCTAATTTGTTTTATAACTTGTGATCCTGGTTTATAGTAATGTTCTACCACATATGTTAATTGAGTAGTATGGTTTCCAGACTGGTTTCATCGTAGACTTCTGTATTAGAAGAGAGATGATATGAAATGGGTAAGAAATGTAAAGTATTTTCAAATGTTATTAATTTGGGTTGGAGAATTTGTTCAGCAGTCAGGAGAGTTTGTCACTTTTGTTAGAGGGTCTGAGTTGGATTCCCAGCACCCACATGGTGGTTCACAACTCTCTGTAACTCTTGTCCCAGAGGACCTGTCTTTCTGCCTCTTAGGGCACCAGGCATGCTAGGCAAGCACACTACTATATTCCCAGCCCAGGTATGGTTACTTTGTTGTTGTTTTGTTCATTTTGTTTGTTTTAAGTCAGTAGAAATAAAAGGTTTCAAGAATGGGAGTAGGATAATAGGCATGCAAAATTCATGCACTCAAGTCTCTTCTGCTCTATTTTAATGGCTTTTCCAAGACTTCATTTATTGATCAGTATGCACAGTACTTTTTCTGTTCTCATTTACATCTTTTGCGCTGTGTAGGTGTAGGTGTAGGTGCAGGTGTGCATGCCTCTGTATGTGTGAAGGCCAGAGGAAGACACTGGGTATCTTGTTCTATACTCCCTGCTGTTTTTCTTTTGAAACAGGATCTCTTTCTAAACCTGGACCTAGGTTGGAGGTTAGCAAGCCTCAGCCATCCTCCTATTTCCACCTTCCACAGTGATGGGGGAGCAGCCAGCTTTTTACCTGAGTGCCAGGATACTAATTCAAGTTCTCCTCTTATACAGCAGGTGTTATATGGCCAGAGTCATCTTTCTAGCTCTTAAGTATTTTCCTGACGGTTTTGCTTTGTAGCCCTTGCTTGCCTAGACATCATGACAGTACTACTGCTGACACTTCCTGAGTGCTGAGACTGCAGACATGTATTACCATGCCTGGCTTGCCTTTGCCTATGTTAGGTCTAGCATTATTTTCTAGCATTTGAAGTTGTACATGACATTATATGTATATGTTTTTATTTGCTAACACAGGCACCCACTACGTAGCTTAGGCTTTCCTTGAACTTGCAGTCATCCTCCTGCCTCAGCCTCTGGAGCACTAGAATTACATGTCTGGGCCACCGAACTTAACTTAAAATTTGTTTTTAGCTATGTGTAAAACTACACCTGTTTGTGGGGAACTGTGTGGTGTTTTCACTCATATATCTATTGTATGTTTAAATTATTAATGTTAGCATATCTATTCAAGTGTAATTTTTCTGTGGTGAAAGGTTGCAAAATCTTTTAGGGCTGGGTATGTATTTAAGTGTTGGAGTGTACACAGTATGGTATGTGAGTCCCTGGGTTGGATCCACAGAGCTACTTCCACCCGCAAATAGTTACTCCCTGTATCTAGTTATTTGAAATCTTATGTTCCTTTTTTCTTCTGGGGCTGTGTGTATGCATGCATGCATGCATGCATGCATCCATCTATAGATCAACCAACATGAGGTCTCATTTATAAAGTCCTAGCTGGCCTAGAACTCCATATGTAGCCATGCTGGTCTAGAACTTGCAGTCATCTGCCTTTGCCTCCTGAGTGCTAGGATTGCAGCCATGCACTACCACTTCATGTTCTGTTTTGTTTTAAAGTGGCCCTTTTCTGTTCTTGTCTCTAGCTGCTGTCTTGTCTTCTTTCCTTCCCCTACAAGACAGATGTGCTGCATTCACTTCCTACTCCTTTCCTACTTGATGTCCTTTGTTGAAATCGTGTAAGTATTTTAGGTCTTAAAGTCAGCATGTATGTATTCTCTGCTTATAGCTTATGGATAAAACTTTTCTTAGAGCCCTTGTAAAATTATGCTGCTGTGCATGTACTTGATTCGGAGACTCTTTGAGTGGCAGTCCTTGTGTATGAAGTCTCTTTTGGATTTCTTCTTGAGAGCTGCTTGACTAGATACCACTTCTGAACATTTCCCCTTGTTTCTTTGAAGTTTATGTGTCTTTGTCTCCTAACACACTTACTGTTGATGAAAAACACTTTACCTTTTTGTAATTTATTTCTGTTCTTAAGAACTCAGGTTCTTCTTAGAGTTTCCTGAAATTTTAGTATGGTTTCCTTTCTGTTCTTTATTTTTTTGAGACAAGGTCTCACTGTGGAACACTGGATGGTTTGGAATTCAAGAGATCTGCGTGGGCTGGGACTAAATGTGCATCACACCAAACCTGGCTTCTATAAGATTTTTAAGTCTTCCTAAGTGTTTCTACTCTGTCCCAGGAAATTCTAGAGCTTGTGGAAGATAAGCCATTGGGCTTTTGGTTTTATCTCTATTTCTACCCTTTTTTTCATACTTGAGAGACATTCTGGGAGTGATTTCTCAGTTTTGATTTCAATTTTGTGTGTCTGCACTCCCAGTTTACAGTATATGTTGGGCTTAGAGTACATAGCCCTAAGACATATCCATCCCCCAGTCTCCCGCCCCTTAAAGTTTAGATTTGGATCACACTGACTTGTCCTTGTGAAGTCCTTTCTCTGTCAGTGTGATCATACAGTTGGCTTTTTCTCCTGTGTCAGACATGATTAGTTTGTCTTTCCTAGAGTATGTAGCCTTTCTGCAAGGCTGCTTTCACTCAGCTTGGTTTTTAGTTTCATAGATAATTTTGTGCTTTCTTTCTTTTTTTGGTGAGGGAAAGTGTTGAAAGCATCCCCCCATTCCTCCCGTAACTAGGAATAAACTTATTCATCTGTTTTGTTTTTCCTCAAGACAGGGTTTCTCTGAGTAGCCCTGGCTGTCCTAGAACTCAATCTGTAGACCAGACTAGACTGGCCTGAGATTCAGAGACCCAACTGCCTCTGCCTCCTGAGTGGAGGATTAAAGAAGGCATGGGCCACCATTGTTGGGTCAGTTTTGGCTTTGTTTTAAGTTTATTTTCTTTTAAAATTATGTGTATTTGTATTTATGTATCAGTATGTACATTGTGAGTGTAGATGCCAAGGGAGACCAGAAGAGTGTTGCTGTTGTAGTTACAGGCAGTTGTGAGCCACAACTACAATTGTGAGAACTGAACTCTGGTCCTTTACAAGAGCAGTATCTATTTTCTACTGAACCATCTCTCCAGTCCCCTGTTCATCAGTTTTACACAAACTTACAAGTCTCTGGTTCTGTATACTTTTTTTTTATTGTATATTAATTCCTATAGTTTTAGTTTTTGATTTTTCATGGATGAGATCATGTGTCTGAAGATGTTTGCAATTCATTATTCTTGGAAACCTTTCTTCAGATACGTTCTTATTTTTTGTGGCACTTATTTTCCTTTTTTTGTGGTTCATCCTTGGGTGAGAATTGCTGTTGATCTGTTAGTGGGTGTAGATTCTGTTCTAGGCCATGGGATGGAGTGTAGTGGGGAGATGGGGTGTATGTGGCCAGGTGTGGAGGCTGTCTATCCTTTGGGTGGCAGCAGCCAAGTGCATGCCACCTTGACTCTGCCTCTAGTCCATGTACTCAGGGAAGAGAGTCTGCCTCTGTGAGGGTTAGAAGTACTCTTGTTAGAGAGAAATCGGTGGCCTATTGAGTTCTTCCAAATCTATTTCCTGACCATATTCTGTGGCTGCTTGCTCTGGGCATCACTCCATCTGTTGTTGGGTAGAGTAACCTGTGTGCTTTCCACCTTTACAACCACAGCTGACTTGATGGTCGTGTGTGTGTGTGTGTGTGTGTGTGTGTGTGTGTGTGTGTGTGTGTATGTAGGTTCGCGTGCATGTGTGTGTGTTTTCCAGATTTTTTTTAGGAAAGTATATCAGTAAACTTAAGCTTTTATTAGTCATTTCTTGACTTAGGGTTGGGAAAGCACATATATGTTCATATTTATCTATGTTTCTGAAGCTGTTTTTTTTTGTTTGTTTGTTTGTTTTTTTAAGACAGGGTTTCTCTGTGTAGCCCTGGCTGTCGTGGAACTCACTCTGTAGATCAGGCTGGCCTCAAACTCAGAAATCCGCCTGCCTCTGCCTGAGTTCAGTGCTGGGATTAAAGGCGTGTGCCACCACTGCCCGGCTCTGAAGCTGTTTTTTAATTTAACTAATTTTATGCATATGGTTTGTATGTCTGTGCACCATGTGTGTGCCAAGAAGAGGGTGTCATGGAGGCCAGAAGAGGATATCAGATCCCCTGGAACTGTAGTTAAATGTGGTCATGATCTGCCAAGTAGGTGCTCTCTCTGGCCCCTATTTGTTTAATTTTGAAATTATTTTTGGGCAGCGGGTAGCTTGGACTTAAAGCCTATTGAAGCCTTGTATTTTTTAAGCTGCCAGTGTTTTCCTTTGTCTTCCTAGAACCTCGGCCTGATGTATAGTGGACAAATACTCTACCACTAAGCTGTACACGAAGCCCAGAGTAGGTTCTACGAGGAATTGACCCTGGAGATATGTAGGGTTGAGACTTTCCTTGCTCTTTAGAATGAGTTCTAGATTGCTTACATTCCTTCCTCTGAGCTAGAGGTGGGGTCAAGGTTTTTATTTACAGTTTTTGTTTCTCAGGGTTGAAACTTAATTTGTTAGCTTTCAAGTATTTATAGAATAGTTTGGACATGTCTGTACAGAAGAGTTAGTTTGGCTAATACTTTGGTATTTTTGATTTACCTTTTTTTCCCTCAAAACATTTTAGTTTAAAATTTTATCCCTTCCCACAGCATATGGACTAAGTTGCTAGTCAAGTAAATATAAACTTTATTTTTAGAAAAAGGTATTTTGACCTTTTTTTTCTTTCCCATTTAGTTTTTCCGTGGTTTGGCTTGGATATTGGAGGAACCCTGGTCAAGCTGGTTTATTTTGAGCCTAAAGACATCACTGCTGAAGAAGAGAAGGAAGAAGTGGAAAGTCTGAAAAGCATCCGGAAGTACCTGACCTCCAATGTGGCTTATGGGTCCACAGGGATTCGGGACGTACACCTTGAGCTGAAGGACCTGACTCTGTGTGGACGCAAAGGCAATCTGCACTTTATACGCTTTCCCACTCATGACATGCCTGCTTTTATTCAAATGGGCAGAGATAAAAACTTCTCAAGTCTGCACACTGTCTTTTGTGCCACTGGAGGTGGATCATACAAATTTGAGCAGGATTTTCTCACAGTATGCATTTTTTAGCTTATATACAATTTATGGAAATTTGATTGTTTAAAATGATGCCGAATACAAGTGGTAGAATCATTTCCATTTCTAATGGAGCTTGAATATTCTTAGGGACATGAACATATATTTAAATTAGTGGTAGTCAGGAGTTGACTGTGTAGCAATTGTTAGGTAGTGTACTTCTTACCTGGTATATTGATATATATCAACGTAGCATTTTACCGTTTCTTTAGTCTGAAAACTTTTGAGTATGGGATAAGCACAAAGGTAGGATAGAGACTACAAGGAAACATCACCCCATCTCATTAAGGAGTTAAAAACAAAATTTTAAAATTTAGTCCTGACCTACGAAGATGGTTCAGTTGGTAAAGTGTTTGGAAGACCTGAGTTTGTTCCTTAGAACCTACATAAAATGGCTGGGTATGGGCCAGAGAGGTAGCTCAGAAAGAACCTGAGTTCATTTCCCAGTACTGATGTCAAAACAGCTTATAAACTGCCTGTGCTTCAGTGCTAGGATATATGATGCCTACTTGTGATTGTCTTGGGCAGTGCAAACACATAGAGACAGAAATACAAATTTAAGTTGGCTATGATGATACACATCTTTCATCTCAGCAGATCTCATTCAGTTTGGGGCTAGGCTGGTCTACATAGCAGTTGCTGATCTGTCAGGGATACATAGAGAGACCATCTCAGAAACAAACAAGTAGATGGTGGTGTCTTAGCACTAGGAAGGCAGAGACAAGTGGATCCCTGGGGTAGTTCAGTAGGTAGTTTCTCCAGCTTACATGAGGAATTCCAGGCTAGTGAAGCATCAGGAGAAAGTAGATGATACCCAAGGAATAACATCTCAGGTTGTCCTCTGATTTCCACATGTGCACACACACACTATCTGGGCACAAAACTGTTTGCAATCTTGTGTACCACATAGTTTCTCTTCTGCCACCTCAGTTATCTTCCAGCATGTCTGGCTGAAAGTTTGTTTTTTTGAGGAGTAGTGGGGCAGGAGTGATGGCTAAGTGGTTAAGAGCTCTGGCTTCTCCTCTAGAGTATCCAGGTTTGATTCCTAGAACCCACAACCATGTGTAACTATAGCTCCAGGGGATCCAGGTAAATACATGTGGTAAATACATACATGCAGGCAAAACCCCATACACATAGAATTAAAAATAGAATAAAAAATGTAAAGTGGTTCTTTTCACATTTTAAAGCTGATAGCAGATCTGTTTTACTCAAACTAGGCAAATACAGTCCCAGCTTGTGCTATGCTTGCCAACCAAATTTCTCAACCATATCTAAGCTCCTAAGGCCAGTATAATACTGGGCATTAGGTTTTGCGTTTCTCCTGTGAACTACAAAGTCTTGAGACTAGGTCTTTTGAGGATTGATGTGGCAAAGGTGCAAGAACTAACAAGTGAATTGGCCAGGTTCCTAGCCTAGCTTTCAGGGTGCAATGCATGTAGAACAGTGTCTTCTGTAACTTTCTCAAAAGAAGATTTGACTGAAGGAGATTCTCCCTTTGACTCTGTCAACACAAAACATAGCTTTACTTCACAGGAATTAAATTTATTCTCAACCAAATATGAGCAGCCAGGCTTGGCAACACAAATTTGGGCTGCTCTGAATGACATTAATGACATCTTTTTGTGGAAGAGGTTAAAGAACAAAAGGAAACCATAAGATGGTGCCTTTGCAAGTGCGTTGGTGGAGACATTAGTTGGGCAGGTGCTGTAAGTTTCAGATGTTGTCTAATGACATTCTTAAGTTAGTGGTCTGTTAACACATTCCAAAGGTTTAGCTGACAGTCTAAGAGGATGTTAAGTTACACATAAAAGTTGGCAATGACTATTGAGAGGACTAAAGAACAATTAAGAATAAGTAACCAGTTAGTATGCAGAGTCTCCAACACTGTCTTTATGTCTCATTCTTTTCCCTTGTGTGTAACTTCATAGGCCTTGTTTTTTTTTTTTTTTTTTTTTTTTTTGATGCGCTCCACCCCCCACCTCCCTACCACCTTCCAACTCCACCCTGGAAATGGCTGTTGTAATCCTAGCATAGACGAGATATTATTAGCTAATAAGGTTTTATACTATTCCCTTGGGTTTTTCTTGTTCACTGATTTTTAGTGGTTTCTTTTCCATCTATGAATTTGGGTGAGGCGTGGAATAGTAAGTTCTCCTTTGTGAGAGTCTCCCAGTGATCATAAATGATAGGTAGGTGGAGAAAATTTCTGGTTCCAAGACACTGTAGAGGCCCTGTTGGAACATATTGGAAAATCACTTAAGCCTCAGTTGTGTGAGAATCCAAGGAAAGAGTCCAAACTGGACTTTGTATATTAAGAGTAGGTTCTTAGTTGGGTTTCTTTTGTTCATGTTCTCAAGTTGTGATGAAAATTACATGGAAGGAAGGGTGTTGGGAAAGTGACCCAGTGGGTAAAGTGCCTGCCACTGGAGTCTGAAGACTGGGTTTGAGTCCTTAGCACCCACATTAGAAAGCTTAGAGTGTGTCTGTGGCCTCAGTGCAGGGAGCAGAGATGACTGGCCAGCTGTTCTAGGCAGTTGGCAAGTGCTCGCTTCAGTAAGAGACCTTGACTCAAAAGATGAGGTGGAGAGCTATTGAGAAAGCCTTGATGTTGACTTGTAAGCTCCTCATGTGCACATGTTACACACACACACACACCCCGTGTACAGACAAAGCATGTGAAATGAAATGCTGCAAGTGTATTAGTAATGAAAAATAGTTAATAATCTATATTTTTAAAAATTGTGTTTCTTTTATAATGTGAGTCAGATTTTTCTTTCTTTTTTTGAGACAGAGATTCACTGTGTAGCTCTCACTGGCCTGGAACTAGCTCTCAAAACTCAGCACAGAGATCCACTTGCCTCTGTCTCCTGAGTACTGGAATTACAGATGTGTGCCACCATGACTGCCTCAGATTTTCCTGATCCTGAATTTGCTTCTTGGTACTGAATTTACCTGAGTAAGCTGGATTAGTAGAATATTTGCAGATGAATCCTTAGGTGTGACATCTGCGCTGATACTTATTAGGAACAGTAGCTCTGGAGGATGTTTCTGTAGTGAGAATTTTGGTTTCTCTAAAAAACACAGAAAGAAATATTATGATATGGTTTTGTTTTAATCCCAGTTGTGGGATATGGGGCTGCTTCAGATTATCCACAGCAGCTGACTAGGATTTGCTTCATTCAGGAGTGTGATTTTGCCAGCTGCAGATAGTTTCTGCGATTGTGTGACATTTGAGAGGGTATATAAATGCTATGGCGTTGAAGGGTGGGGTTGTTGTTTGTTGCAGTTTGTTGAGTAGTCCTGCACAAAGAAGAAATTAGATTTTTTTTGTTTTGTTTCTCTGTGTAGCCCTGGCTGTCCTGGAACTCACTCTGTAGACCAGGCTAGCCTCGAACTCTCGAACTCTGAAATCCGTCTGTCTATGCCTCCCAAGTGCTGGGATTAAAAGCGTGCATCACCACCGCCCGGCGAAATTAGATATTCTGACAGCGAAGATTAAACTTGCTCCAAGGAACTGGAAGTCCCTAATCATCAGCAGGAAGTAGTTTAACAGTAACATTATCTTCCCCTCTATCTTTTTTTTTCTTTTGTCTAGTGTTAGGGGCGTCATTGAAAGGGTGGAAAAGGGGGTGTAGAAGAGTGGGAGAAAAAAACCTCACAAATTAGCCAAAGTCGGCTACATGTTTCAGAATAACAAATTCTGGGAAAGAGAAATTGATTTGACATTCAGTGTCAAAAACTACTTGGGTTCTAATATTAGTCTACCAGTGTGAAGTGGTATTTAATGTAGGAGTGAAGATGCTGACACCTAGCATCTTGAGTGAGGGAGGAAATGGTCAGGTAGAGTGGCAGGGATCATCATCTAAAGAGTGGGCTTGGTTGGAAGAGAAGTTAATATTTTTAATTGGAAATTGATTAAGAGTTTTTCTGAAGTTACTTTTGTTGCTCACAATAGACTGGAATAAGTTGAGTATAAATTTAATTGAATGGTGTTGCATAAAGAGGAGTGAAGTTTGTAAACAGAACTGGGTTCTTCAGTGACTGTGAGGTAGCACCACTTTTGTAATGTGTTAGCATGTTCTGTCAACTTTCAAACCCGCCATCTTCAGAGTTACTAGTAGCTATGCATGTACATAAACATAAACACGATTGTAAAATAGTTAAATCCAGGTGTAATTTATAGTTTCTGATTCCACTAAATATGTTTTGACATTTTCCCTACTTAGGTAGGATTGCTATATTTCCCAAATAATATAAATAATTAACATTTCCCTATTATTTGAAAGAATTAAGTTGATGAAAGGATTTAAACTTGATCATACTAAACTTTTCTCTTCCAAAAAGCGGTAGCCATAGCCAGTTAAGATATAAGAAATCCTGCCTTTTCTTTTGAGCTGGAAATCTCATGTAGCTGAGTCTGGCCTTGAACTCCCAGGCTTCCTCCCTCCTGAGTATAGGGAGTACAGATATGTGCCATGGAGCTTGACTTTAAATCCTATTATTCTTGGACACTTTGTAGTTCTTTTACAAAAGGTAGGTTGTTTCTGGTTTTTGTTTTTTGTTTTGTTTTTTAACTGAACCCAGGGTGTCATGCTTTATCCACCTTTGAATTCTGTCCCTCAGTTTCAGATTATTAAGAAGTAAGATGTGTTTTCTTTGATACTGCATGATAGCTTTAGATGGTCTTTTTAAAGGTAGGGGTGTGTGTCTGTGTGTACCTGCGTGTCTGTGCTATGTGTGCTTACCTTCGTGAAGTACAGAGGTCAACCTTGGTATTGATCTTAAGGAGCTGTCCACTCGGGCTCCTTGATTAGACTAGGCCATCTAGCCTGGGAGCCCCAGGGATTTCCCCCTGCACTGGGGGATTACAGGTATGTGTTACCACACCCAGTTTTGTTTGTTTGTTTGTTTGTTTGTTTGTTTTGGTGGTTTTTTTCGAGACAGGGTTTCTCTGTGTAGCCCTGGCTATCCTGGAACTCACTCTGTAGACCAGGCTAGCCTCAAACTCTCGAACTCAGAAATCCGCCTGCCTCTGCCTCCCAAGTGCTGGGATTAAAAGCGTGCGCCACCACCGCCCGGCTATTTGTTTTCAAGAGACGGTTTCTCTGTGTAGCCCAGGCTGTCCTGGAACTTACTATGTAGACTAGGCTGGCTTCAAACTTAGAGATCTGCCTGTCTCTGTCTCCCAAGCACTCTGATTAAAGGCATCTGCAGCTACCACCTGGCCACACCCAGCTTTTTATGAGTGTAGAAATGGAGCTCCTCTTGCCTGGGTGGCAGAAACCTTTCCAACTGAGCTATCTTTCCATCCACCATGCCAGTCTTTGTGGATTCTGCCTTCATTGCTAGGTACGCTGTAAGCCATGGCCTCTACTGCATCCTGTTCTACTGTCCCTGTCAACAGAGGTTCTGTTTTCTGCTACTCACTTAGGACTTTGCTCGGCTCACAGTTACAGTGGTTTGTATTTGTGTCAGTAGGAAGCAGTTTGTCTTAGTGGTCCATCCTTTTCCCTGTCCCCAGATCTGCTCGACAAAGTGAATACAAACGTCACACATCTGTGGGTGCACTTCAGTGGTTCCTTTAGTGTAGAGATGTCTTTTAAAATGGAATTAAATGTTGTTTCTGTTGGTTGCCAGATGTACTGACTCACCCCTGGAGTCCTAACACCTAGTAAGTGGGGGAAAGAATTTGAGGCTTAGGCTACAGTGATACTGTTTAAGAAAAAAAAATGTTGGTTTATTAGAAAGTCTGATTACATTTTTATTTTATTACAGATAGGTGACCTTCAGCTTCGAAAACTGGATGAACTAGATTGCTTAATAAAAGGAATTTTATACATTGACTCCGTTGGATTCAATGGACGATCACAATGCTATTATTTTGAAAACCCTGCTGATTCTGAAAAATGTCAGAAGTTACCATTTGATTTGAAAAATCCATACCCTCTGCTTCTGGTGAACATCGGCTCAGGGGTTAGCATCTTAGCAGTGTATTCCAAAGATAATTATAAGAGGGTCACAGGCACCAGGTAAATCCTTCATATAGTTATTGTCTATATTGATATAATAGGTTACTGAGTTGTCAGGTGTCACAACAGCACTCATTAAAATTATGTGAAAGATTTAAAGTTTTTGTTTTGTTTTTGTTTTTTGTTTGTTTGTCTTTCGAGACAGGGTTTTTCTGTGTAGCCCTGGCTGTCCTGGAACTCACTCTGTAGACCAGGCTGGCCTCAAACTTAGAAATCCACCTGCCTCTGCCTCCCAAGTGCTAGGATTAAAGGTGTGTGCCACCACTGCCCAGCAGATTTAAAGTTTTGAAACTGTGAAAGCACATGTTGCTTCTCTTTAAACATTCTAGTGTCATTGACCTCTTTCAATCTCTTTTGCTTAGGGCTTTTATTATTATTTCATTAAGTATTGCCTTAACAGACTCATTCCATCCATAGTTTATGGTGGGCGTATATAGAGTAGCTGTTAACCAAGTAGACCTTTGGAAAAGAAAGCAAGAGAAAGTCCTTCCTTTGAAACCTGTAGACTTTGTGTACATACATGCATATATCCTTTAGCATGTGCATGTATGCATTTATAACGGATGGTATAAGGTGTCCAGGGGATGGTCCTGGGATGCTGTGTGGTAGTTTGAATGAGAATGGTCCCCATAGACTCACATATCTTAATACTTGGTCCCCAGGTGCTGGAAATGTTTGGGAAAGATTAGGAAATGTGGCTTTATTGGAGGAGATGTTACTGGGGTGGGCTTTGAGGTTTCAAAAGCCCAGGCCATTCCCAGTTAGTTTTCTCTCCTCATGGTTGTGTCCAAGATGTGAGTTCTCAGCTACTGCTCAAGTGTCAGGCCTGTCAAGTACCACTATCATGCCTAATGTCATGTTCCCATTATGATGGTCATGGACTCTTAAGTATAAGCCCCCAGTAAACTCTACTATAAGTTGTCTTGGTTATGGTGTCTTACCACAGCAATAGACAGAAGTTGGTACCAGGGAGTGGGCTGTTGCTGTAACAGGTGTCACTGTGCTATTGTTTGGTGTAATATGTGGATTTTGGATTAGGTGAGTGGTTAAATGCTGAAAGCAGGGCTGAATAGGGTCATCCTAGTAGGAGCTTGGAAGACAGCAGTGCTGAGAGCAGTGTTGTCATGGATGCCCAGCTCAGCAGTTTTACAGGAGGTGTGGTGTGCCACATGCCTTTAATCCCAGTAGTCAGGAGGATCTCTGATTCAGGGCCAGCATGGACTACAAAATGAGTTCCAGGCAGCCAGGACTGTATAGGGCAGTAGTTTTCAACCTTCCTAATGCTGGGACTCTAATACAATTCCTGAGGTTGTGGTAACCCCAACCATAAAGTTATTTTTGTTGTTGCTTCTTAACTAATTTTGCTACTGTTGTGAGTCATAATGTAACAGTACATCTGTTTTCCTGTGGTCTTAAACAACTCTGGTGAAAGTTTCATTTGACCCCCAAAGGAGTCACAGCCCTCAGGTTGAGAATTGCTGATATAGAGAGACTCTGTCTCAAACAAAAAGCAACAACAAAAACAAACAAACAAACAAACACAAAAAAATACTTCAGTAGAAAACAATATAAGCAACTGAGTAGAGATTATTTTTATGATATTTTGGCAAGAATGTAGCTGCTTTTTACCCTTGTCCTAAAAAGTTGCCTGCAGCAAAATTGAAAAGTAATGGATTAATTTTTTTTGGCTGAGATTTCAAGACAGCCTAATACTGACTGTGTTGTGTAGTTATTAGTGGTAACTGTTACACAGATCTACATTGCAAAAGAACAGTTGGGACAAGAAGAAATACAAAAGGTGTAATTTGAAATGGAAAAATAGTATCTGGAGATTTAATGTTGGAACCAAAGCCTACATTGAAAGATAAGGTGACACTGTCCAGCTAAGCTTTCAGCTGGTAAGAAGGAAATGCTTCAGAAAATTTCTGCTCTTAAAAAACGAGGAAACCTGCTGCAGATGTAATTCAAGAAGGGGTCTGGGCCTCTCCCCGCGCATACAGCCCAGCTTGGCAGAATTATCCACATGGTTCTGGCTTTAGAGGCAAGATGGATACATGAGTAAAAGGGTTGTGGACTCTTCCTCCGTGGTTAAGGAAAACCACCAAGGCCAGGCATGTGGCAGGGAGTCCCTTGCCTGTCCCTGAGGTGGCTATTACACAAAGCTGTGAAGGTGAAGCCTGGATTACCTAGGAAACCCCAAGATGTTAGAGATGCCAGAAGCATGGATCCCTGCCAAAGACAGAGTGTGGAACTAGCCCAAGAGAGAGAAGAGAAGTGTGCCATCAGACAGGATTTGGAGTTTGTTTTGGTTTGATTCAGTATTTCCTCACTCTGGCTGTTTCCTCCATTTGGAAAGCTAATGTGTATTCTCTGTACTAATGTATGTTGGAAGTACATGATTTGCTTTTGCTTTTAATATGGAGTTACTGTTACAAGATTGCCTTGAGTCTCAGAAGAGACATGGATGGATTTTGAAACAGTGTTGAGACTGAAATACTATGGGAACTTTTGAAGGTGGACAAAATACATTTTGCATATGATATGGCTACAAGCCTGTGGGGGCCAGGGTGTGGAAATGTGGTGGTTTGAGTGAGAATGTCTTCCTGTAGGCTTATATATATGAATGCTTAGTCCCCAGGTGGTTGAAATGTTTGGGAAGGGTTAAAGGGTGGCCTTGCTGAAAGAGGTGTATCACTGGGGATGGACTTTAAAGGTTTCAAGAGCTCAAGCAATTCCCAGTTAGCTTTCTCTGCCTCATGTTGTGTCTCAAGATAAGAGATCTCAGCTACTGCTCCAGTGCCATGGCTGGTTGCTGCCATGCTCCTTGCCATGATGGTCATGGACTCCAACACTGAAACTGTAATGCCCCAAATAAATTCTTTTCTTCTATAGGTTGTCTTGGTCATGATGTCTTAATCACAGCAATAGAAAAGTAACTAAGACAGTTGGATCTAGAAGTTGAGGTACTGATAACTAGAAAAATGATTTAAAAAAGGAGGAGTAGATGAACAATGGTTAAGGTTCAGAGGTTACTTACGGAAAACAAAAAGGAACTGAGGAGTTGAATAACCATTTACCTAATGAGTATAAGCCAACAAATGAGAGTAATTTGGGAAACATGTCAATAGTGGACTCTGGTGGATTAGAATGTCAAGTGCTTGAATGACTTCAGAGGCTGTTCTGCACTTGAGTACAGAGGGTGCCAGCATTACACTGGGCATGTTGGCTGTATGTGTACCTGAAGCTTTCCTACTCACCAGGATTAGATCACACTGGGGACACATACAGGGAGATGAGCTACATATATTTTTCTACTTTGTTGGCTCACGTGAATATGTGTATTTTGTGTTTATGAGACACTTGTATTTATCTTCTTGCAAACTTACCTTATTGGTATCACTCATGGTTTAATTGAGGCCAAGAGTAGACTGACACATAAATACTGTTTGGGGGTTCATAAGTCCAACGTTTCCATTCTCGTGTTTTAAAAATACTACATTGTTTGCTTTTAATCATAGTCTTGGAGGAGGAACTTTCTTTGGTCTCTGCTGTCTTCTTACTGGCTGTAGTACTTTTGAAGAAGCTCTTGAGATGGCGTCTCGTGGAGATAGCACCAAAGTGGACAAATTAGTTCGAGACATTTATGGAGGCGACTATGAGAGGTTTGGCTTGCCAGGCTGGGCTGTGGCTTCAAGGTAAGGGAGTATGTGATGTAGTAAGAAATTCAGGATGTAAATCCTATTAGTATATGTTTTATTTTAAACAGTTTCATTGAAATGTAATTTATAGTTATTTGCTTACAGAATTTGTGGCTGAAGATGTAGTTCAGTTAGTAGAATACATACTAGTGTATATGAAGCCTACTACTGTACATGAGCCGAAGTGCTGTATAAACTGGGTGTGGTACAAACCTATAATGCCTATAATCCCAGTCCTGTGGTGGAGGCAGGAGGATCAGGAGTTTCAGATCATTCTTTGACTCATAGTTAATTAGAGACAAGTCTGGTATATACAAGCACTTACCTTTTTAAAAATGTTAGTGATTTGTTGTATATTTGCAGAATTTTGCAACTATTACTGTAATTCAATTTCAGAACATTTTTATCATTTTAGAAAGATTACAGCCCTTAACTATCACTCCCTCTTCCATTTCAGCCCTCACTCTTCCCTGCTGTGTCTGGATTTGCTAACTCTGAACATTTCTCATGAATATGGTATCATAGTAGGATCTGTCGTGACCAGCTTCATCTCTCCTAGTGTAGTCTTTACAGAATTGTTTCTTTTTCTTGAGTATTGTTAGTGTACCATATTTTATGTATTTATTAGTTAATAAACATTGGGTGTTTCTTTTCTTTTTTTTTTTTTTCTGGCTGTCATGAGTAGTGCTGAAGACCTGTGTGCTGTCTTTGTTTGAACATGTTTTTAATTTTATTTATTTTTTTGTTTTTGTTTTGTTTTTTTGATTCAGGGATTTTATTTTTTGCCCTAACTATCCTGGAACTCACTTTAGACCAGGCTGACCTCAAACTCAAGATCCGTCTCCCTCTCCATCCAGAGTCATGTAATTAAGGATGTGTATGCCCCGCTTTAATTTTCTTGATCTCTGTCTAGGAATGAAATTGCTGTGCTGCATGGTGACTTTATGTTTAATCTTTTGAAGAACTAATAGACTGCTTTCCAACGTGACCACACCATTTTACAGCCCTAGCAACTTAAGACATAATTCTTCTCTGTCTGTGTCTTTTGTTTAGGAACCACCCCCACCCCTTTTTATCAACTGCTTTAGTAACTTCGTTTTTCCCATGCCGATGCTTAAAACTGTATTACTGACATAGCAGCAAAGAGTAAGGAAAAAGACTGTAGCTCCTTTAAGTTTTCTCCTAATTTCTCTTACCTGTTTCCTAAATTTTTCATTCATCTCTACATCTGAGTCTTTGCTTTTCTTTCCTTTGATGGAGACTTTGTCTCCCCTCAAGAGGCCAGAGTGGCCTTGAACTTTGTAATCTCCTGTATCAGCTTCTGACTGTTGGAAACAACAGGAGTGTGCCTCCAGGCCCTAATTAATTGTGATCTTGAGTTTTGTTTTTCTGTTTATCATTTAAGGAATATGCCTGCTGAAGTCTTGGCTAACTAAAATTGTTTTTTCTATTTATTGGGATCCAAAAATTCTTTACATGTTGTAGACAAAAGTTCTTTACTAGATAATATATATGTATCTAACTCTTAACATGTACATTTGTATACATATATAATTGAGAATGTATTTTCTCTCTCTCTTTTTTTTTTTTCTTCACTGCCTTGGTGTTTGTAGTACAGACATTTCTTTGTTTCCTTGTTTCTTTTTCTGAACAATGCCTTGTATGTCTCTGGCTGGTCTTGACCTTGTGATGTCTGGCTTTTTGTATCTACCTTCTGAGTACTGGGATTACAGATCTGAGCCACTATGTCCAGTTTATTTTGTGCTAGGGATCATATGTAGGGCCCTGTGAGTGCTAAGCAAGCACTCTACCGAATGATGCTACATTTCACGCCTCATTTGGTTTTTTTGAGACTGGGTTTCAACGTGTGGGCATGGCTGGCCTCAGACTTCTGAGTCTCTTTCTGCCTCTGCCTCTGCCTCTGCCTCCTGAGTGCTGGGATTATAGGCAAGTGCTATCAAAGCCAGCAGGAAGTTCTGATGAAACCTGTCTTTATCTCTTGTGCTTTCAGTGTCATTTGTCCTATCTGAGATTGTGAGGATTCACTTCTAAGAGTTTATAATGATATGTCTGACCCATTCTGTGTTAGCTTTTCTGTATAGTGTGTGACAGAGTGCATATTCTCTCTAGCTGACCGTCTGCTAAAGATTGTTCTTTCCCTAGTCTTTTGAGCCCTTTGTCAGCAATCAGTTGACTCTAGATGTTTCAGTTGAATTCTTGATTCTCAGTTTCTTTCTGTTCTGTCTTATCTGTCTTTAGACCAATACCACATCCCTTTGTTTACTGCAGCCTTGCACTAAGTTTTTAAGGAGAAAGTGGCAGACATACAGGACACAAGCTCCCTAACTTGTTCTTCCTTTCCACAATTATTTTGGCTGCTTTGAATTCTTTGACTTTCTATATGGATTTTAGTATCAACTTGGTAATGTCTGTAAAGAAGATAGCTAGGATTTTAATAGGGATTGTGTTGGAATCTGTTGACCAGTTTGAGTAGTACCAACTTTTGTTTTTAATTATTTACAAATTTTGTGTTTTTCTTGGATGTTTGTATGTGTACCCAGTGTATGCCTGATTGCCGTGAGGTCAGGAGAGGAGATTGATCTGGAAACACAGTTTTGAGCCTTCATTTATGTGTTGGGAGTAGAACCTGGGTCTTCTACAAGAGCAAGTGCTCTTAGCTGCTGAGCCATCTCTATAGACCTGAGTCTTTAATTCAGAAAGATGGACTTCTTTCCCTTTCTTTAGGTGGTGGTTGTCTTTAAACTGCAAAAGACTTTCGTACACAAGCAGTATATTTCTTTTGTTAAGTATATGCTTATTTACTTCTCTTTAATTCTATATTTAAAAAAAAAATGGAAGTCTTTGTCTTCCTCTTGCTGTTTTTGAGCCAGGATTTCACTGTGAAGCCCAGGTCTGTCTTGTCTCTCAGGTGCTGAGATGCTAGCCTGTGCCACCAGGCTTAGCTTGGGACTTTCTATATTTTATTTTGTTTATTTAGGTATGTAGTTTTAAAAAATAATTACTTTTATGCGTATGAGTGTTTGCTTGAATTGATATCTGTGCAACATGTGTGTGCCGGGTACCTATGGAGACCAGAAGAGGGCCTCGGATTTCCTGGGCCTGAAATTCGATACTTACAGACACTTAGGAGCTGATGTGTGGGTTCTGGGAACTGACAGGGTCCTCTGGAAGAGCAGTCAGTGCTCTTACACTGAGCCATTTCCCAGCTCTCTTAGGTGTGTAATCTTTGTATTGTTGTGTTAGAGCACATGTGTTTTTTGTTCTGTTTTTGAGTCAAGGTCTCATTATGTAGCCCTGTGTGGCCTGTAACTTGCTATGTAGACCAGGCTCTCCTTAGACTCTCAGAAATCTATCTGCCTCTGTCTCTAAGTGCTGGTATTAAAGGTGTGTGCCACCATGCACAGCAGAGTACTTGGTTTTTAATAATAGAAAAGGCATTCATGTGCAAGTACTTTCTTGCTGAGAAATAGGCACTAGATAAATATAATATATTATGTTTTATTGGCAGTATTTGATCTCTGCTCATCTCTTCCTTATTCTTGTCCTTGGGTTTGGGTCACAGTTACTATTGTAGCCTTTCTGCTGGTCAAGAAATTTGAAGTCTTATTTTCTAGGGTAGCCTGGAACTTTAGTAGCCACTGTGAGTCTTAGCTGTTTTGTTCATTGTGTGCTGATCAAATGAGTTTTCTATAACAGATGTAACTGTGACTATCTGAGTAGAGCAGTTGCACAGTAGGGATGACCTACCAATAACAGATGTCTTCCTGGAACACTCTGCTGGCAAATCAGGCAGTGTTGTCTTTTGGGGGATGTACTGGAGGCTGCTTGGATACAGAACTATCTGGTACCAAGTTGATTTTTAGTACATGACAGGGAATGTTACCTGCTCACTTAGAGTAATTTGTGGGCTTTTATTTTTTTTAAACTGAGTTCTTTTCAGTGGATGCTCCCATCATTCTGTAATAAAGCATAGAAAGACTTGCCATAACGTCATTTTATCATAGTAAAGTGACATTGAAGTTCTCCTGGACTCTGTTGTCTTTGTTTCAGCAGTGAAATATTTTTCTTCCACCACAGTTTTGGAAACATGATGAGCAAGGAGAAGAGAGAGGCTGCCAGTAAGGAGGACCTTGCCAGAGCAACTTTGATCACCATCACCAACAACATTGGCTCCATAGCAAGAATGTGTGCTCTTAATGAAGTAAGGGCACATGAGATTGTTCTGTTAACTCCAAGGGAAATGCTGACTTTCCAAAATGGGTCCTACCCCAAACCTTACATAGTGTCTATCTTCTTAAAGTGTGTCCAAATGTAGTTATATGGGGTAGACTTTAAATGTGAACTTTACACTCTAAAGATTCTTCTTCACTGATTGTCCTCCCGTTCCCCACCATATTCCTTGTCTCTTCCTGAAGATCAGCACTGCTGCAAATAGGTGAATTGTTTCTTTGAGGAGAATCTGGAGGCGGCCAGGAAGAAGGCCAGTTTTGAGCTTCGGATGGGCTGAATGATGGGTCACAATGGTGACTAGATACTGTGTTTACTGAGTGCTGTTGGGTGTGGAAAGGAAGCCACAGGAAGCCACTGGAGCTGGGAGAAGACTGAGCGGTCAGAGGAAGGCCCACCTTGGTTCTTCTCCACCTCAGCAGAGCTGTCTTCGTGCTTTCAGCTTCTTTACAGTGCTGCCTTGTAGCATTCAGGTCAAGCAGCATTGTACAGGGCTATGAAAGAACCAAGAATGGGCTGCCCTTAGGGAAAGAGGATCTAGGATCCAGTTGGTGCAGCTTCATGGCTTGTCCCTATTTATACACTTTGGTTTACAGTTATTCTTTTAATAATACAGGCATGTGCCCTAAAAAGAGACCTCAATTTAGAAGTTACTAAACACCAATTTTAAAAATTCCATCTTCATTTGCATAACATCACTCTTATTATATGTTCTCTTTCCTGTGCTTAAGTATCTAAAATGTGAGTTGTGGTGCATACATTTTATGCTTTTAACTGGAATACGTGGTTTGCGGCTACGTTTTGTATATGTGAATGCAGGTGTAGAGGTTCGAGGACAGCCTCGGGTACTCCTCAGGTTCTACTTACCTTGTTTGCTTTATTTTATTTTGGTTTTGGCTTTTTGAGATAGGTTTTCTCTGTGTAGCCCTGGCTGTTCTGGAACTTACTTTGTATACTAGGCTGGCCTCAAACTCAGATTCACCTGCCTCGTCTCCAGTGCTAGGATTAAAGGTGTGTATTACCACTGCTCAGCTTTTTTTTTTTTTTTAAACTGGCTAATGAGACCATGCTAGCCTCAAACTCCCAGAGATCTTGCTGTTCCCTAGTACTGGGATTAAAGGTGTATGCCACAGTGCTTGGCTCACCATAGTTTTTGAGACAAGGTCTCTCACTGGTTGAAACTTGTTGATTAGGCTGGGTGACTGTCGAGTGAATCCCTGGGATCTGCCTGCCTCGCTCCCTAGTGCTGGGATTATAAATGTGCCACTGTTGCTGCTTTCCTGGGTGGGTTCAAGGGAATTCAACTCAGCGCCTTGTGTTTGCATGGCAAGCACTTTACTGACTAAGCTATCTCCCTAGGTCATGACTGTATATTTGATCAGATTCTTATTTTGTCATAATTATTCAAATAGAGCTGGGCATTTGGTTTCTTGGAAGTAGGGACTGTGGTAAGTATTTAGAAGTGTGAACCTGTCCTTTGACTGTTTTAGTCTTGATATGGGGCTTTCTTGGGAGCAGATCTTGTGATCCTACATCATGATTATACTTAATAAATCCTAGTAGATTGCTGAGGGCTTCTGCACAGGTGTGTGCCCATTTAGATCGGCAGCTGTAGCTTTGATAGCTGGACGGTTTTACTGATGTGGGTAGAATTTCATGCAGACTTTGTTAAACAGCTGCAAGAATTTGCTTTCTTGGTTCATAGATGAAGCTGAATTGTTTTTAACTGTCACATATCTTGCATAATTTGCTTCTTTGTGTCATGTCCTGTTTTGGGTTAGTTACTTTTTTGTTTGCTCTGACCAAATCCTTGGCAAAAGTAGCTTAGGAACAGGTTTTATTTTGGCTGACAGATGAGATTATAGTCCATCATGGTAGTGAAGGCCTGGTGGTAGAGTAACTTGTGGCAGAGTGTGAGGCTGATTATTTATATCTGAATATGCTAGGGAACAGATGAATGCTGGCTCTCAGCTGGCATGTCTTTTTTCCTTTTTTTTCAGTGTAGGATTACCACATTCAAGGCAAGTCTTTGTAATTACTCCTCTGGGAATGCCCTTATAGACACAGCCAAAGGTCTGCCACACTGGGTGCTTCCTACTCCAGTTATACTGACAATCAGTAGTGCCCCTTCCACACTTATCCCTTGTCATCTTGGCACCGAAATACCTCACTTTAACTCTAACACTTTACTTCTTACCTCTAATGTCTCATGTTCTTATCATCATAACACATGTTGTCTGAGTATCCACATTACATGTGCTCCTCAGCAACTAGTTTTGTCTTTCACTGAACCTTCTTCTACCCAAGATCTCCCACTTTGGTTTTTGTTGTCATTGTGTTGTTTTGTGGCCCACTGCATTTAATTGGAGTTGCTTGCGTAGGTAGGGCATTATTTACTTGATTAAGGTAGTTTGGTTCTGAAACTGGACATGGAGAACCATATCTTTAATCCTAGCACTCAGGTGGCAGAGATAGTCAGATCTCTGAATTCCAGGTTAGTCTGGTCTACAGTGTGAATTCCAGTCTAGCTAGGACTACATAGTAAGAATGTGTCTTAAAAAAGCAAAGCAAAGCCGGGCAGTGGTGGTGCACACCTTTAGTCCCAGCACTTAGGAGGCAGAGGCAGGTGGATTTCTGAGTTCGAGGCCAGCCTGGTCTACAGAGTGAGTTCCAGGACAGCCAGGGCTACACAGAGAAACCCTGTCTCAAATAACCAAAAAAGAAGAAGGAGGAGGAGGAGGAAGAGGAGGAGGAGGAGGAGGAGAAAGCAAAGCAAAACAAAGTTTGTTCTGAGACTTCCATAATGGAATAATGAGGCAGAGTAAATATTTCTAGTTCCTAAGGAGAAACAGGAGTGTAGCAAGGAAACTACAGACTGTGGGCTCGTGATGGCATCAGGCTCCAGCTGGGTTTCATAGTTCTCTTCAGCTATTGTTGGTGGCAGTTGTAGTTTCTCTCGTGAGGTGAGCTGACACCACATAGAGTCATGGTTTTCCTCGGCAAGTCCCCATGTTCCTAGCATCTCCAGTCTTTTCAGGTCTACATTGCCACTTAGGCTTTGCTTGGCTCCATTAGCCTTCTAGAGCCTTGGTGACTCCATCACTCTAAAAACATTACATGCTGATTTAGTGACTGTGTGTTGTGGTATTATGTTTTATAAAAAGATAGAAAAGAAGGGATATGTTTGGTGGAGGGGGGAGGGGCTGCCTCTGTGGGCCCATCCTGAAGCATCCCTTCCCCCTGAGGTCCCCTGAGGTACCAGCCTCAGATGGTATAATATAGAGTAGAGTTTATTTAGGACATGAGGAGGGGAGTTGAAGGAGTAGTAGAGACACAGAAAAGTGGATGTGTGTGTGGTGAGTGTAGAGGAGGAGAAGCCGGCCATGAGCACATGGAGCAGGGGAGGAGGAGAATGGGGAGAGATAGGGAAGAGGGTAAGGGAGCAAGAGAAGAGGAGAGAGCAAGAGAGTAAGGAGGGGGCAAGCAGCCCCTTTTATAGTGAGTCAGGCACACTTGGCTGTTGCTGGGTAACTGTGGGATGAAGCCTAGAAGAGATGCCAACAGTGTGTGTTTGTGTTTGTATGCCAGAGGTTGTGTTAAGTCAGGACAGCTATTGGGAATTGGTTCTATCCTCTTACCATGTGGAATCAAACTTGGCTTATCAGGCCTGATGAAAAACACTTTACTACTGAGTCATCTTATCAACCCAACTCTGAGATTGTGACACCTGCAAAACAGTACCATGCTGCCCTCTGCCTTCAGCTCCAGATGTAGCTATGCTTCATGTCTAGCAGTAACGGAGGCCTCTGGGGTCTGGACCTAGGAAAACACTGTCAGCACTTTTGGAGCAAGGTGTCACTAATTTGTTTGGGTAGTTTTTTTGTTTGTTTTAAGATGAGCGTTTCTCAAATAAGATTCCATTGTTATGCCCTGGAGCTTTTTGATGGTGTGCTCTTAACCTCAGTGTCTGTCTGTCTGTTGTCTTGATGTAGTATCCGTGGTTTCTGTGTAGTGGCACTAATCTCTTTAACAGTTAAAGTCACTTAGACAGGATTCATGCTCCTTTCTTTCAAATTGCCCATTTTTCGTGTTTCTTGAATGGTGCTTCATGTTCCAGACCTCCCTGTATCCTTCCAGCAGCCCAGAATGCCTGCAGCCCAGTCAATGTTATCACAATGATGGCCTCACTTCTTGGTACCAGTTTCTTTTAAAGTGTAATCATCATTATTATTATCATTAAGAGGGAGTATACATGTGTCACGTCATGCTTTCAGGTGTTAGAGGGCAACTTGTGAAGTTGGTTCTGGTCTACCACCTTTATGTGGGTTCTAGGCCTTTGGGATTTGAGGTAAGCATTTTTTACCTGATTCTCCATTTCACTGGCCCACTGATACCAATTTTCTGTGTTGCTTTTTTATTTTCTGTTTTCTCACTCCCTCATTCCTTTCTCTTCTCTTTTCTCAGTGCCTCTGTTTCTCTCTTTTATACATGTGAATGTGCAACTAACTTAACATACCCATGCTGATGTATGGCCAGAGCAGGAAACTGCCTGTCTTTCTTTATCTTTCTGCATCTTAACTGTCTTGAAAGAGACTCCAAGATCTACCTGTCTCGGACCCCTAATGCTGGGCTTATGGGCATACGCAGCCCGTCTAGCTACTTATGTAGGTGCTGGGATATGACTCATGTCCTCCTTCATGCTTGCAGAACAAGCACTGTTACTTACTGAGGGATCTGTCTCAGCTCTCTGTACTCCTGTTCCTGTAGGCACATTTCTGGCAAGGGCAGTTTAGGGGAAGAAGTGAAGTTATTGAACTAGTGATGGGAATTGCTTGTGCTTATGGCAGTGTGCATGTGAGGCTCCTGAGCACACATGGATGAGCCAGGAATGAGAGAGAGCATGGTGGTTGCTGGTGCTCAGCTGGCTTTCTGGTTTCCTCAGAGTGGCCCCCACCCACCGATTTAGATCGCTTTATAAGTACCTTCACAGATAAACCTAAAGTTGTGCCTCACTAATGCCCCAGGATATAATAATCTAATAGGCTGACAAAATTAATCATCAGGAGTTCTTTTTTTTTTTTTTTTTTTTGTTTTGTTTTTTGAGACAGGGTTTCTCTGTGTAGCCCTGCTGTCCTGGAACTCACTCTGTAGACCAGGCTGGCCTTGAACTCAGAAATCCGCCTGCCTCTGCCTCCCAAGTGCTGGGATTAAAGGCATGTGCCACCACTGCCCGGCTAGCTTACTGTTAAATTTTCCTCATTGTAATGTTAATATTTATACTGTTTATCATATTTAATACAAGTTTTTTTTTTTTTAACTAATCATTCTGTACACTTTGGAGCAAGCTTGCAGTGGGCCCAGCTTGTCTAAATATCAAATCTTATTAGACCTGAACCAGCTGGATTGAATTTGATCCATCAGTCAAGTTGCTGCTGAAAACTGCGTGATGCTGCTGGGTTTAGCTTTATGAGGAAACAGAAATCAGGGTGTGAACTCACTATCTCTTTTCTGTGCTCAGAACATTAACCAGGTCGTATTTGTCGGCAATTTCCTGAGAGTCAACACGATCGCCATGCGGCTTCTGGCATATGCTCTGGATTACTGGTCCAAGGGGCAGCTGAAGGCACTGTTTTCAGAGCACGAGGTGAGTGACTTGTTGCTGATACTGTCCTGCAAACACAAGGGCACAGAATGAAAGGACTGACCTGGGCTGCAGTGAGTCATCCTGTTCTCACTGTAACTGTGACGTGGCCTGGGGCTTTATTGTTGTTTCTGAAAACTATTTCTTACTCATGTACTGAGGTGAGTGCTGAGCTAGTTTAAGCAGCTTTGTTGCTCTTTGAAGCAGAGTCTTGCTATATAGCCATGGTTGTACTGGAGCTTGCTGTATAGATCAAGCTGCTTTTAACTTTCTACAGTCTCCCTAATCTCTGCTTCCCAGGGCCGGGTTGAACCTTTTTCTAGGTAAACCGTGGGAAATAGTTTCTTAGAATAGCATCCCACCTTCTCTTCATCTATGCAGACTAAACATCTCTGGGCAGCAAAATCAAAACTTGAGTGCTGAGGTTTTTGGATTAGATGTGGGACATCAGTTAGTCTATGCAGATACATTAAAATATCCCAACCAAAACCACTTCTGGTCCCAAGCAGTTTAGACAGAAGGAACTCAACCTGCAGTCACATCTTCATGGATTCTGTGTTGTTTTCCTTGCTCATTTTCCCCTCTGCTTAGCTTGGGCCATTTGTTCTTGGCTCCTTTGCTTAGTGAGGCTTCTCACTTGCATGTTGATGTCTGACCTTGTCATTCATTATTGTGGTCCTGAGGTACTGAGCTTGTCGCCCTCTCAAGGCAAGGCAAGGCAGTTGGTTGAGCAGTTTGGAGGTGTGGCGTGCCCTTGTCTCAAGCCGCCTCTTTGTTACTTAACCCTTCCCACAGTGGTGAATAGCCCACTGTAGCTTTTTTTTCTTTACTCAGTAGTAGGTTCTGGGTTTTGGTCTACTGTAACTTGGGTGGCTGTCTTTTTTTTTTTTTGTAAAGTAACCCTCAGACATAGGGAGGTGCTGGGAGCCGAGAGCTCATGGGCTTGGTGGGGTGGGTTGCTGAACATCGTCTGTCCCTACTTGCTCAGCTGTGACTGCCACAATTTGCCTTTTTTTTTTCCCTTTTGTAACTGAGAAATAGAGGAACTGGGACCTTTTTAGTTAGATTTAGTGTGTCCTTTAGACTCTACCTCCAAGGACATTGGTGTTTTCCTGTTGGAGTTGTTGTTTTGGGTGGTCCTGAGGAATCGAACCCTGGCTCTGTATTCCAGCCAGATGGTCTGCTGCAGCCCAGCCCAGTTGTTCTTTCTTGCAGTACTTTAATTTCTGACATCCTGCTTGGAGACCAATGTAGTCAGTCCTTTGATTCTTCTGACTCCTGCTGTCATTCTCTTTCTGTTGGTGAGGGTTTTGTCTCATTTAATATTTTTTTATCCTTTTTTCGTTTTTTGGTTTGGTTTCTAGTTCCTGCTGGAGGCTACGCTTTACTGTTGGAGTCAGTAAGGCTTGTATTTTTCCCCCATTTTTTTCAAACTGAATTTTACTATGTAGCTGGCTAGCCTGGCTGTAGACCAAGCTGTTGAACTCACCTTCCACCCTTACCCGCTCCTGTATAGGTAGGTTCGGACCTTTTCCACTTCCCCCTCCCTTCCAGACCATTCAGGCATTCATCTTCCATGATTAAACTTTAGTGTCTCTTCTCACCTTCAGTCTTTGGCTGTTGGAAATGTACAGGCCTAGTCCAGGACAGGATAGCCACTACCTGTCATTGTGAGGGTTTTATTGCTGTGACAAAGACCATAACCATAAGAAGCTTGGGGAACTTTATACAATAGAGGTTAATTTACTGTGATGTCTTCCTTTTAATATTGTAAAAACAGAGGAGGCAGTTTAAATAAAGAAATAAATTGTTAAAAAAAATAAAAATGGGAGTAGTGATGTAAAAAAAAAAAAAAAGAAGAAGCTTGGGGAAGAAAGTTACATATCCCTCCCTGGCAGTCCATCAAGGGAAGGCAGGGCAGGAACTCAAACTGGGTAGGAACATGGAAGGAGGAGCTAATGCAAAGGCTATGGAGGAAAACTTACTGTGTTACTCTTCATGTCTTGTTCGGCCTTTATTAAAGAACCCAGAACCACTTTCCCAGGGGTGGAACCCTGACAGTGGGCTGGGTCCTCCCACATCAATCACTAATCAAGAAAATGCCAAATAGATTTACCTACAGGCTAGTCTAATTAGCATTTCTCAGTTGAGGTTCCTGTCCTCGATCTGACTCTAGTTTGTGTCAAGTTGACAAAAAACTAAGCTGGACAAGATCTTTGCCAGACCTTTCTTCCCTCAGCTGCTGTAGTACCTTCTCTTCTTGTTGGGCATCTCCAACATCTAGCCCTTCCCTGCAAGAGAGTTCCTTAGGGCTTTTCCAGACTGCATATGCTCTCTGTGCATGGCAAACAAATGGGTCAGGTATTAAAGAGACGTGCTAACTTTATTTAATATAGTAATCATAATTGTGGTATTTAATGACCTTACTGGGCTGGTTCAGTGGCTGACAGCACACAATGCCCTTGCAGAAGACCTGAAGTTTGGTTGCCTGTACTTCTATTGGGTGGTTCACAACTGCCTAACCAACTCGAGCTCCAGGGGATCTGATGCTTCTGGCTTCTGTATGTCCATGCACACTACCCCTCCCCATACATATTTAAAAGGAATTTCTTAAATCTTACTTGTGGTGTGTCAATTTTCAGGGTTATTTTGGAGCTGTTGGCGCACTCCTTGAGCTGTTGAAGATACCCTGATTTACCCAGAGGACTTCCTGAAACCTGCCACAGGGACATCTGTGGATTTTTTTTTTTTAGAGACTCAAGTTTTATGATCGTGTACTACTCAAATCAGAGCAAGAAAAAAATGTATTTTTCTAAGACATCAAGATAAATTCTTAAAATTTTGTCTAACTTAGCATTCAGTAAGGATCCCCCCACCCCCCCCACCCCCACTCTATGCACTGTGAAGGTTTTTTGTTTATAAGGTATTCTTCAGGGCAGCATTATTAACCCCTGAGGTGCCGGGTAGCGGTGGCGCACGCCTTTAATCCCAGCACTTGAGAGGCAGAGGCAGGCGGATTTCTGAGTTCGAGGCCAGCCTGGTCTACAGAGTGAATTCCAGGACAGCCAGGGCTACACAGAGAAACCCTGTCTCGGAAAAACCAAAAACCAAAAAAAAAAAAAAAAAAATTTAACCCCTGAGGTGCTTTGGAATCTGGGTATGCATGGAGCTTCTGGACTCTCGCCAGCAGATGACTGCTTGTCCTGTTGAAATGTGTGGGAGAGTCTAACTAGTTTCATTAGTATCCCTTGGAGGTCCTCTTCCTTTGTGCACTGGGTCGTGTTTAGCCTATGCTAACATACTGAAAATGGGTTATTTCAAGCTTCTGAAAACTTGGCAGGTTTGTTCTGCACCTGATGTTAAGAGATGACCTGCATTGTAGCTGAAGACAAGGGTGGGCCTGTCCACAGTAGCCTTGGAGCTGGAATGGAAACCTCAAGCTCTGTCTGGGGATGTTTCTGCCATTCAGCTGTGGATTCTGGTGCCAGCTCTGGGGCAACAGAAGGCACTTGTTGGTTTGGACCATGAGAACTCGGGGTTGGATTTGGCTGGCTAGCCTGCTTGATTGGGGACCAATTCCCACAGGGATATAGCTGCCTTTTATTATATACTTTGGCCCATTAAGACTAAGGGTTCCATTGTGCTAGGGTCTCACACAGCACGGTACACAGGATGTTGCAGGGATGCTAGTCTTTCCCTCCTACCCTGCTTTGCCTCCTGAGAGATCCTCAAAGCTGTCTCTCCACCTACCATTTGTATCAGAAAGTTTCTCAATCTGTGGCAGAGCTGGGTTCCTTCCTACCCTCCCTCAGGTGACTCCTATGAACTCTGGTCTGGGGAATGACTACTTGATAGTTGTGCCCAGTGCTTTGTATTTGTGGTTCTGTTTTCCTACATTGAAGCTTGCACAGTGTTAGAAGAGCAAGCCTCAGGATCATAACAGGATCACAACAGGATGCATGGTACTGTTCTGTACCCACCCCATCTGTCTATTTCTTCTTTCTTCAGTGTGCTTAGCCCAGTGTCATTCCAGGAATGGGTTCTGTTTCTTTTAAATAGTTGTGGAGGCTAACCTCAGACTTGACAATAATACTATATAGCTGAGGCTGACCTTTGAACTGCTGATCCAGTTGCCTTCAACCCTGAAGTGCTGCTGGGATTATAGGTGTGTGACACTAGTAAACTCTGTAAATACAAAGGGTTGTTTCAGAGCCTTATCTTACCCAGTTGTCACCTGCTTCCCTGGCTGCTGTCTCACTCTGACAGTTACACTCTCAAGGTCAACCGTGAGTCTCCAAGCTGTCTTCTCTTGGTTCCAGCACTATTTGCAGAAATATATACATTGCACCTTACAGCCACTTCTGAACCGGGAGTTACTTCTAGTGTCTGTTAGAACCATCTTGTCTTTTCTCAGCTGTCCAATCTCAGGTCTTGTTTTGATAGCCTAAAGCTCCACGTCACTCCTCCCACGTAGAACGGAAGGGTTGTGGCCCTGGAGCACAAAGTAACTTGCACTGAGATGGGGGGAGGATGGCCAGTGTGAGGAGGAAATGCTTTGTGGGCCTCAGTGGCTGGGTGTAGTTTGGTTTTAGAATGCCTGGTTTTGAGAACCCCCAAAGCATTTGGGGTCAGAGACAAAGCAGAGGATGTAGTTATTTGTGGGAGGATTTAGTGAACCCCAGAGCATAAGAAAACGAGACAGATGGGCAGTGAAGGAACCATTACAGGGAAAGCCACCCTGGGGCATAGCGATCTGGGAGTCCCAGAGCAAACTTACAAAGGGTACTAGATAGATGGGTTACAAGGTTGCTCAGAGGTTTTGTGCTTTGGTGAAGCCATGGACTGAAGCTGCGCAGTTCAGAGCTGCTCACCACCCGGGGTTAGGGTTAGGGTAAGTTCTGGGAGTGTTGCAGACTGTCAAAAGACAAAGCTATATACATCAAGCCACCACAAATGCTGGTGGTCACACATGGTGTGGTCTGCAGCTTGTCATGTCAGAGGCCTGAGGCCTTTTCCCCCATCAGCATGCCACACTGTACCCGTCAGGCCCGCTAGTGCAAAAGTTGACAGGTACATAATACAAAGTATTTCAAAATCTGCTCTTTATTTACACGTGTTTGGGTCGATTACATGCATGTTTTATTTTTAAACAAGTGATTAGCAAAAAATGCATTAAAGTTTTAAAATAGCAATTAAATATACAAAAATATAGCTTACAAAAACCAATGTTTAAAAATATTCTGCTGCAGAATTCTTAGTGTACAAACACGTCTATGAAACCTGAGGCTCAGCATTTCATAAACCTTTTTTGAGGGAGTTATATCTAGTAAATAAGCCCCATAGGGCTAAACTGCAAGACTAAAGTGCCACTCCTCCACTTTCCTGGACATAACTTGTCAGCAGACCTAGAGGCAATGACTCCAAGCCATCACAGGAAGATGCCCTGCTTCTCCACCACAGCCTGGAAGGAGAGGCATGGACGGCGCTGAGGTTTCAACCACACAAGTCCCTTAACACTGGTGAGGTCATGATCAGAGCTACATGGTGTCTTTGAAACAGCAGGAGTAGCTTTCCCTGATCCTGTGAATAAAGGAACTAAGAATTTGGATACATGCTGATCTAACTGGAGTAAAAGCATCTTGAAATAATTTGAGTTCTAAAGCTGAATCTGGAAACAGTAACAGGTATTCAACTCAGTGAACTCAGTCCTTTACCTGGCATTTTAGGTCCCTACTTCTAACATTAAGTTAAATACTTTGATGGTCCCATTTTAAGCAATTTTTTAAAAATAAAAATTTATTTTTATGTGTTCGAGTGTTTGCTTGCATGTACATGTTTGAACCTGGCCAGATCTGGAACTGAAGTTACAGATTGATGCTATGAGGTGGGTTCTATGAACTGAACCTGGACTATCGGAAGAGCAGCCAATGCTCTTAGCCACTGAACCATCTCCCCAGCCCCGCCCGAGGTTCTTCACAGCTGCAGGGGAAGATTAACCAGGCTAGAGATTTCATGAAGTGCCAAAGGGGTGGGTCTCCACTTGTCAAGGTTCATCTTGGGTGAACATGGGCATACTTTACCCATTGGCTGCTGCTTGGGTTGCAGGGAAGCAGGTGAGTGGGGGGAAGACCTTGGGTAGTGTGCCTGGAGAGCAAGGCATAGGTCTGCTTTCTCCCTCACTGGCTGCCTCTGTAGGAGACAGCTTTAATTTTTACCTTAGAAGGGGAGAGGACAAAATTGAAAGTTGTGTGGGAGAATTCTGTAGGGAGTATTTGCTTCTGTCTCATTTGCAGACACTTAATGACAGCCCTGGGGACTTAGGAGACCTCTACCTTAATACATGCTTTCCTGCCTCAAAAACACTGGCACCAACGGAGAGGGAGGAAGGTGGCAGCTGGTCCAGACACCTAGAGAGACTGCTTAGGGCTGTCATCCTGGAGAGGGTAGGGAAAGCAGCTGTACTGTTTTATTAGGGGTACAGGGTGGATCTGTGAAGGAAGCCATATAAAAAGGAATGTAAATGCAAAGACAACCTCTACTTCAGGCTTACCTGCCATACATAATACATTTCTGGGTTGGCTCTCTTCCCCCCTCCAACACACAGTCCCATAAAAGGAGACTAAAGAAACAAAAATGAATCCAGTGCTCATGGGGTAGTTTTGCAAGGAAGGCAACTATTGTGTGAATTTTGTGAAGGATTACCTATTCAAAGACTCAAGGAAGACTGAGTAAGTCAGGATTCAATGTGGAGGCTAGGCATGGTGCTCTGCCTTTAATTGCTGCAGAGGAAGAAGGTGCTGGATTTCTGATTTTGAGGCCAGCCTGGTCTATACAGTTTCAGGATAACCGGGAGTACATAGAATCTGTCTCAGATTGTGGTGGAGCCAGGGGAAATCCCATAGTTCAGAAGTTCCTGAGTTTGTGACCAGGAAGGTATGTGCTATTAGCAGCTCCTGCTCCCCCATGCCTGTGCCTACCAGACTGGACTGGCGGATCATCTAGGAACCTTGCTACAGTTCCTTAAGGAAAGGATGGTCTGAGAGGTTGACCTATAGAAAAGCACAAGTGGCCAATTCAAACTAGTCCAAGCACTTTTGCATAGAGCTCTCAGGAACTTCTATAGGTCTCTCAAATTCCCAGAAAGTAAGTGCTGTAGGTATTACTTAGAGTTCCAAGTTAGAGATATGCTTTGGAACAGAGCCATGGAAAAGATCTTTTAGTCAAGTCTTGTCAAGAACAGTTATCTGGAAATGGTGGGAGGCCCCCTGTTCCTCAGTATAGATCTCACCCAGAGGCTACCTGTCCATACCTGGCTGTTTTGTTCTACTTCCTGGTTAGGAAAGGTAAGTACATGTTAAAAGAACCTTAATAATCAGGAATAGACTAAACTAAATTACACTTGGCAAAGAAAAGCTGCAGATGTCAATTTCTTGTATGTTACAGTGACCCAGGTAGGTTAAGACAGGCTTTGTTCCATTTCTATCGCTGCAGCCCACAAGTGACACCCAATCCTCTAGCTACTTAAGACAGTAAGAGTCCAGTGACCTGAGAGTAGACCCAACCCCACATCCACACAAAAAGGTTGCCAGGAACATAGGGGTCTATGATGCGGACAGGGTGGTCTCGCTGTATGTTTGGGCCTGAGCGAGTATGGCTCTGCCAGTTCTGCAGATATACAGGAAGCACTGGTGGGGGACCCATACACGAGGAACAAATATTGGGCTGCTGTGGCTGACGGTGCCAGAAGTGGGAGCAGTGGCCAAGAAGGGAAGATGAGACACACACTTTGTAGCTTCCAGCCTAAGGAATGCCTTTTAGGAAGAAATGACATTAACAGTGGCTGGGCAGAAAAGGTGAGGGGACCTCATTCAGGTCGAGCAGAGCAAAGCACCCAGGATTCTTCCAATGGCCCTGACCATTCAGGTTGCACACCAACCACCTCAACCTATCTGAAAGTCTGATGAGCAATTTTGCCTCTAAAATGGGGCTTTGGTGATGCTGGCTTTTGAGTAGTTGAGTCCAAGGACAGGAAAAGCTGCAGCTAAAGGCTAAGATTCTATGACAGCTGTGAATGGCAATAATTTATAGTATTGACCATATGTAAATCTTTAAGGGGGAGATTTCCTTATTGTATCCAGTTATGCAATATGAAATGCTAGATGCTAGCCTATAACAAAATTAAGCCAGAAGAAGCCCACTTCTGGCACTGGTCACTTGAAGACATTTCACTGTAAACTGAGTGTGGGCATTTTGACTCTGGTACTACAATCAGAGGGACATAGGTATGAATTATTGGGGTCAATCAGGCTAAGGCTCTCATAGAAAAGTCTCACACTCCCTTGCCCTGCATAGGAATCCAGCTGGCCTGCCACAAACAGAGCACACTGGGAACAGCTTATTCTTTCCAAGTGGAGCTGTAATTTTCCAAATGGACTCTGCCAAGAGCCCCTATTCCCACCCCTGCCACCCCATTTTGCAAGAGGATCTCACTATGAAGCCAAGTCTGGTTTCAAACTTAAGACCCTGCCTGTCTGGGCTGGGACTATAGAGAAGTATACCACCACAACCTGGCTTCCATAGCACATTTTAGACAAATAGGAATTTTTTCTTCAACTGATCCCAGCTACTGGAGGCAAAGCAGGTCCCCTCATCTATGACTAGGTAGAATCCAAGAACAGAGTAGCAAAGCCCTCCATCTCCATGCCAGAGTGTACTTCCTGAATAAATTTCCTCACACCTGTGGGATGGAGCAGAGCAGAGCAGTTGACGAGGCATTGCAGTGGCACTGTTGTGACAAGGGAAGGGAGAGCAAGCTGTGTAAGAATAGTCTGTGCTTTACACGGCAAATTTACACTGTTCACAAAGCCTATTGGAGGCAGTTATCGCTAGAAAAGTTGGACAGAAAGAGCCAAAGAGCAGCATGCATTTTCCCTATAAAAACACCCTCAGTCAGGGGTCTCAAGTCCACACAACTGAGGTACACACCAACAGAAGGCCGGCCATGCAGGAGCTTCCTCAAACTATTTACAACTCCAAGTGGCTCACTGGCTTCAGAATTACAGGGAGCTTATTTGGGACAGATGTTTAAAACTGCAGTAAGACATTTTTCTTATGTAGAAAAAGAGCAGAGGAGAGGCAGAGAGAAGCCAAAGTGTCTGTCCTGGCCATCCTGGTGAATGTGGACTGGCTTTACTAAGAAAGAGGCTCTTCTTTGGAGCCATCTGAGGGGCCCAGAGAGACTCCTTAGCCAGTGGGCTGAGGCCAGCAGCTGTAATGGAATCACACACTACACCTGTGGTGTACTGAGCAGTACCCTGGCCCCTGGGTTACAAAGGGACAGCAGAGGTTCAGGGTTAAGCTCCTGCTGGGTCTTCTGATGACTAGGAGGGCAAACAGAAGAGGAATGGCTCCTGACCAGGCCTTTCCAAGTGGTTCCAATGGCTTCAACTTGGAAGATTTGACAGCAAGTGTGAACTGGCACGTGTGGCAGGGGTTCTGCTGCTGTTGTTTCCAAAGTCTTCAGATGGCCTTATTAAAAGAACCCAAAAAGCCTCACAGGGGCTGCCTCACCAAATACTGGAAGCCAGTTGTGCTTCAGCTGATGGAACAACTGGGTCCACTTGACTCAGGATGCCAAGAGGAGGTGTGGCAACAACAGGCTGTCAAGTCTGCACAGCAGTGTACTGGTCCACAGGTGGCAGTGGCAAAAGCCCCATTCACAGTTCTGGTCTCTAACACCTGTGCTTATCTTCCCTTTTGCTTGATGTGGAGGTGCCTGGGAGACACAGGAGATGCTCAGGAAACTTCTGAAACCAAACCTGCAAGCTCATCCACTCCTTTTGGCATAGGGTGATATCAGGGTGCTTTGGTTGTCACAAGATCCAGATGCCTAGGGTCATAGCTTGCCTGGCTCAAGAGTTCTTCATGAGGCAAAGGAAGTGAGAGTGGGTGCCCCAGGCAGAGAGCAGCCAAAGTGGAGTCTGCTTGTGTTCCTCCTGGCTCCATACTGATGTGTGCAGCAACAGTCTGATCCTTGCAGCAAGCTATACAATATTCTCTGCCCCAGGGAGGGGCTCCTGAGGGGGACCGCGGTCCTGTTTACTGTGCAACTGGGCCAGCTGCAGCACCGGCATGTTGCACAGGGGACACACTTTTCGGACTTCCAGCCACTTAACAAGGCACCTGCAGAACAAGACAGCCAAGTGGGAGACGTTAGCTCCAGACTTACAACAGCCCCTTCCTGAGCTGACTGTTGAGGCTGTCAGTTACACAAAGCCAGTGTGGAGTCTGGGGAGGGGGTTCAGATCTAGAATCCACATCCCCCTCTGACAAGCCAGAGTCTTCTGTCTCCTACAGGCTGACATGAAGGTACCACAGTCAGTACTTTATTTTCCTGGTCACATGTGACTTTTTATAAAGTATGCTGATGAAGGAAAGCAGGAAAAACCAAAGTTTTTAATATGGCCCTATAGCCCTATGTATACCTACACTATTTACTGTGACTTAAAATAAGTAGCTTGATGAAAACACAGCGTCAAGAGAGTTGTTAGCAAGTCCAGCTAAAGAGCTGTACAGAGGTGTAGGGTGGGCTGGATCTCTGCCCAAGCCTGCAGTGGTGTTCATGGTCCACTTCTCTGGTCCCTTCTAATGTCACGTACACATGCTTGGGCCCCACCCTGTGGAGTGCTGTCAGTCTTGTGCACTACAGACCAACTGTGACACCATCAAGCTTAGCTGGCAGTGCCCCATAGCCTGCAGCAAGTTGGGTTACACAAAATAATTTCCATACTAATACTCACTTTCTGTGGAAGGCATGCTTACATGGGCAAATCCCCAGTTCATCTCGAGGCTTGAAGTCTTCTAGACACACAGCACAGAGCTGAAAGGCCAAGTCACAAGTGAGGTCAGTGTTCACTACAAAGCACAGTGTGGTTCCTAAAGCCCAGAAGAGCAACGAGAACTCTGGCTCCCCAAGGCTGCTAGTGAGAGGACCAAAGATTAAATGGAATTCTTAAAGCAGCCATGTTGAGTCGTGCCTACTAGCACTTGGGAGGCTGAAGCAGGAAAATTGTTGTGAGTTCAAGGATAGCCTGTGCTACAAATGAGATCTCACAAAGAACCAACCCCTGAGAACTCTGAGACTTCATGTAAGGGTTCATCTTCATTATCAATTACGGAACACAGGGCACACGGCCACTGTGGCTGTGAAGGTATTCCGAAGAGGTACAACCGAGGAGGAAGACACACCTTCAGTGTGGGCTAGGTGTCCAAACTGAGTAAGGAGAGAGGCAAGCAGGAACACCTGGTGACCAGCCGTGTTCATGTCTGCTTCCTACTGGAGGACAGTGTGAGCCACTCATCCACCTAAGGCTGCGGCTAAGCCTGGCTCGCTGCCAGCTTTTCTTCCCCGTGGTGGACAGATGAGTAACGGGAGCCTCAACAAACCCTCTCCTGTGTAAGCTGCTACCCAGTGTTTTGTCACAGTGACAGGAGTACTAACTGATAATACACCATGTGCCTTATGGTATTGTCACAGAGCCGCTAGAGATGCAGGGAGAGGGGAGGAGGCAGATGCCCATCTTCTTCAGCTTCTGAAAATGAAGGTGTTCAAGCACCCCACTGTTTTAGAAAATGGCTCAAGGAACAACTAAAATATTTAGAAGCAGCTTACCTCATGTAAATTAAGTTCTTTTACTTTTTCTTTTAATATAACCTGTAAGATTAAAAAAATGTTCTTACACCAATGTAAATAGATAGTGAATCGTGTTATACAGATCACTATGTAGATCAGGCCAGCCTTAAACTCATGGATAGCTGTCTGACTCTGAGTGCTACGATTAACAACATTCTTTCAATATTCTGAAAAACACCTTTGTTGTTGTTTTAAGACAGGGTTTTTGCTGTATAGCCCTGGATGTCCTAGAACTCATTCTGTTTGCTAGTCTCAAACTCACAGAAATGCTGGGATTAAAGGCATGTGCCACCATAGGCTGAATTATTTTTTTAAAGATAGGGTCTCATGTAGCTCAAGCTGATGGAATTCACCCTGGAAATTTTTTTTTTAATTTTTTAAAGATTTATTTATTTCATAAGTACACTGTAGCTGTCTTCAGACCCACCAGAAGAGGGCATCGGATCCCATTACAGATGGTTGTGAGCCACCATGTGGTTGCAGGAAATTGAACTCTTGAACTCACTATGTAGCTAATAATGACGTTTAACCTCTGATCTGCCTGTCATGACCTCTTGAGTGGGTATTAGCGCAGGTGTGCAAATGCTCTGTGTAGGTGGTGCTGCAGACTGGACTCAGGTCCTTTGCATGCTTGGCAAGCATTCTTCTGAGTTTTACCTCCAGCCATACTTTTGATAGTAGAGCAAATCTTGGGGAAAGACATCGATAAATTTGGTAGAAGCAATAACCTCATATTCAGTAAAGCAGCACTGGCTGATGAGAATTAGTAATTCATACAAGATTAAAATGTAAAGTGAATTTTATTTTGGAAGTTTGATTATTATATGCCAGTGTCCTCAGAAAATCTGTCTTGGGTGTGTGGTAACAAACATCAGCTCAAATGAATATAACAATGCAAGAATTCCATCAAAAAATAAAAATTTCATAATACACATCATCAAAAAAAAAAATTTGGAGGCTGGAGAGATCTCAGTTGTTAAGACCATTGACTTCCTTTCCAGAGGACCCAGGTTCAGTTCTCAGCACCCACATGGCAGCTCACAACCTTCTGTAATTCCAGTCTCAGGGAGTCTGACTCCCTCGTGCCTTCTTTAGGTCTGCGGACACCAGGCAAACGCAAGGCGCACAGACAAACATGCAGGGAAAACACCTGTCATTTTATTTTATGAGCATGGGCCCTTTGCCTGTGTGTGTATTTGTATACCACGAGCATGCCTGATATCTATGGAGACAAAAGACTGTCAGATCCATGGAAGCAGAGTCATGTGGATGCTGGGAATCAAACTCAGGTCCACTGCCAAAGCACCACATGCTCTTAGCTTATGAGTCATCTTTCCAGCCCCAGCGCAAACTTACATGTATCATTTTGTTTGTTTGTGGAGGAGGGCTAGAGACAGCGTTTCTCTATTGCTCTGACTGTCCTGGAATTCACCCTGGAGACCAGGCTGGCCTTAGACTCTTAGAGATCTGCCTGTCTCTGCCTCCTAAATGCTGGAATTAAAAGTGTGCATTAAGGCGGATTTCTGAGTTCAAGAGTTTGAGGCTAGCCTGGTCTACAGAGTGAGTTCCAGGACAGCCAGGGCTACACAGAGAAACCCTGTCTCGAAAAAAGTCAAAAAAAAAAAAAAAGTGTGCATTACCACCGCCTGGCTTACTTATGTTTTTGTTTTTATTTTTTTTTTATTTTTATTTTTTAAAGATTTATTTATTTATTATATATGAGTACACTGTAGCTGTCTTCAGACACACCAGAAGAGGGCATCAGATCTCATTACAGATGGTTGTGAGCCACCATGTGGTTGCTGGGATTTGAACTCAGGACCTCTGGAAGTGCAGTCAGTGCTCTTAACCACTGAGCCATCTCTCCAGCCCCTTGTTTTTATTTTTTAAAGATTTATTTATTTATTTCATGAGTGCACTGTTGCTGTCTTCAGACACACAGAAGAGGGCATCAGATCTCATTACAGATGGTTGTGAGCCACCATGTGGTTGCTGGGATTTGAACTCAAGTTAGTGCTCTTAACCACTGAGCCATATCTCCAGCCCCTACTTACGTTTATCTTAAAGGGGAAAATCAGGCAAGTTAAATTTGGTGAAAATATCTAAGTTCTAGAAAATGACTTAAGGCAAATCACATTTTCGCAAATCACAAAGCAAGCTACTGTTCAGCCAGAGAATGATGTGCTAAAATCTTATTCAGTTTAGGATTAGGTTACCTTTTACCTCACCTCATTAGTTCAGTGAATTTCACCAACTAGATGACCATCAAGGCCAGCTTTACTTTATAGTTAGCTTATATGCAAACATCTTGTAGACATTCAAGATTATGACAGAACTGAGACAGAAGGACTCACTCATTTAGAAAACTACAGCATTCGCCTGTGCTAGACCCACAATGAGTTCACTTCAAAAACTTCCACACAGTCAAACAGAAGGATACGCAAACTCTAAAATATGACCTCAGCGCCAGCAAAGTTAAAGAAGCCACCTTTCTTCCTGTCTCAAAAAAGCTAAGGACAAAAACAAAACAAAACAAAACAAAACAAACAAACAAAAAAAAACAACTAAGGACAACAACAATTTCATGTTTGGGACCAAAATTAAGGGGAAATCTAGGACCACTATTTGATTATGTTAGCAGTAAAATATTAACAGATGATACATGGAAGACTAAACTACTTTTATTTTGCTTCAAGAAAAGGTGGAGTCTATCAGCATGAAGCCTGTTAGCACTTGGAAGGCTGTGACAGGGGGATTGCTTCATGTTCAGACCAGCCTGGACTACAAAATACGTTCCAGGTCAACCTTGGGCATATAGTAAGACCCTGTTTAAAACAACAAAACATGCCACCATCAACATAGCAAGCTGGGGTGATCAAAAACTCATGGGTGAAAGACTGATGACCCCAAGAGCAAGAGAGTGAACACAGAACACAGCTGGAACCTCTGGGCAGTCGCTATTCGTGAACGACGAGCCCCACACAGTAGGATGTGCACTCCATTAAATCAGTGGTGACTCAAAGGGTTACAGATGACAACATTTTTCTTTGACAAATACTGGCTGAAATTCTGTCATTTTATCCTATCATCTAAATTTTCTATAGCTTCAAATAATACCAATAAAAGATCAGGTTAGAAAATAGAATTGCTCTATTCTATGGTATAAACTGACAAAGGAGAAGCTAAGTAACCCATAGTAAGATAATCCCAGCTTAAACTACGAATGGACTCAGTCTCACAGTTTACTGAAAAGCACAGCAAAAGCTACTTGTAATTAAATGGCTCACCTGTTTGTAGGCATAAAATTCTTTGTGTGCTTGATGTCTCAGCCTAAAAGACACAATGAGAAGTGAGATATTAAGATTTTGGAGAGAGTACCCACTTGAACCATGGGATATCACCCACTGTAAGTTCTAGAGAAATCTCACTGAAACATCAGACATTGTAATGAAGATAAAGATTTTTCAAAATGAAGATAAAGATTTTTCATGTTAAGTAAAGTCTTAGTTCAATAGTTAATTTGGGGGGCTGGTTAGATGGCTCAGTGGTGAAGAGCACTGACTGCTCTCCTAGAGATCATGAGTTCAAATCCCAGCAACGACATGGTGGCTCACAACCATCTGCAATGGGATCTGATGCCCTCATATGGGTGTCTGAAGACAGCTACAGTGTACTTACATATAATAAATAAGCTTCAATAGTTAATTTGTCTCATTCTTCTTAATTAAAAAAATTAATACACAAATTCAATAAAGTGCAAAAACTAAGTATACAGTTCAGAAATGTAAAGAATGCATCTGCAGGAATAATTATCATCTACATCAAGATATAGGTTCTTGCCGGGTGGTGGCGCACGCCTTTAGTCCCAGCACTTGGGAGGCAGAGGCAGGCGGATTTCTGAGTTCGAGGCCAGCCTGGTCTACAGAGTGAGTTCCAGGACAGCCAGGGCTACACAGAGAAACCCTGTCTTGAAAAACCAAAAAAAAAAAGAAAAAGAAAAAGAAAAAAAAAAGATATAGGTTCTTCTGAGGATCCCCGGGGCTTCTAAAATGATCTTTTCCAATCAGTGTCCATCCTTAGAACTGACCCTATTGGCCAAATGCAGATTAGCTGTGTCTGCTTTTAGACTCACAGCCATGGGCCGCTTGGTCCATCCTCCTTTGTGTTTGGTTTCTTCCAATCCATAGTCCCTAACAGAGAGTCTTTTTGTATTCAGTGACAGAAATGTCTGCTTGCCAAAGATTAAGAAGATGATTCTCCAGAAGCCAATGTCTGGAGACAACCACGTTATCCTGGCACTTGGGAGACAGTGGTAAAGGGATCAAAAGTTTAAGGTCATTCTTGGCTACAGAGAATTTGAGGTCAGCCTGGGCTACATATGACAGTCTCAAGACAATGCCCCACATTCTGAAAAATCATGTACTATTTTATCTACTATATTTAGGTCTGAGAGCCACACTTTATGTGAATTGTAAGGTAGGGTCTTAGATTCTTTTTATCCCTGTACTGGTTCTTACTGGCTTCATAACATTTATCAAGTTCCTTCTTCCCCCATGAACTATAGTACCTGTCTGTTACCAACCGCCACGTGCAACCTATGGATTTTCTCCTAGACATGGCACCCTGCCCAAGTGCTCTATCTTCCTGCCCTTGCATACTGGCTGCAAAAGCATCCCTTAAAAACTGAATCCTGGGTCTGGTGTAACTTAGGCAACTGGAGTGACAGGAAAAAGGTCAGGTGACCAGGTGATTGCAGAGCAGAAGCCAAACAGCAGCCATAAGTCAAGGAAAGCCAGGGTCTGCTGGTCATTACCACAAGGTAGGAAGAGGCTAGGAAGTGGGCATGCCCTAAGAGACAGACACTTTGGTTGTCTGGACTCACCTAAAACCCTGTGTCAATACTATGCTATTTTTAAATGTTTTATTCTAGGGGCTGGAGAGATGAGAGGACCAGTGTTTTGTTTCCAGCTAGCTTACAACTGATCATAATTTCAGTTCCAACACTATCTGGTCTCCACTGGCACCTGCACACATGTGGTGCACATACTCATGTAGATACATGCACATAAAAACCCACCATTTTAATTCTAAAATAAACACATAAAGGGTAACGAATCTGTATATATTTTTGGTTTAAGACAATGTTACTATGTAGGCCAGACCAGCTTGGAACTTAAGAACTTCCTGCCTTAGGACCCTAAACCACCATGCCCAGTTCACATATACCTTTTTCCATGTTTCTCCAATGCTTACAGTTATAGCAGTATAATACAGTCAGCACACAGTAGAAAGCGACATGGCATAATGCTGACAGGTCGGCCAACTATCACCAATAGGCCCCATTTGAATTCCATGAGATTTTTTACTCATGTCCTTTCCTTAGCAATAGTCCAACTTGGGATCCCATTTTACACTGGTTGTGTATCCTTCACCTGTTATCATGGCAGTTCCTTGGCTGTTAAACCTTTGACATCCAATTATCATTGGTTAGTTCAGGCATTGTTGACCATAAAGTCACTACTGTACCATTTCTGACACTCATCTTGGGATCATAAGTTAAAATCATATCCCTATCTTATTTTTTGCTCACGCTTCTTTCCACTGATATTAACATCCACCTTTCTCACCGCAAGGCCCTAATTATTTGTACAGTTAGTTGGGATTCACACACAAGACTGAAAGCAGCCAGTTATGGTACATTTAATCCCAACACTCAGGAGACAGAGGCAGGCAAATCTTGGGAGCTGGAGGCCAGCCTGATCTTCAAAGCAAGCTCCAGGCTAATCGAGGCTACACAATAAGATCATGTCTGAAAACAAAAACAAAACCCCCAAATTTACACAATTTGTAATAGTCTATGCTCTGTGGGCTAAAATGTAATACGATCATTATTTGCTGCTCAGGCATATTGGGATTATACTACAGTTTAGTGATATAAGGCTTGTCTAGCATGTAAGGTGGAGGGTGACTTGGCTTATAATTTATCTTTGCCTATCCAGGATTAGGATCCTAAGCTTCCCACAGCAGTGGTTTCAAACCCTTCCTACTCCAAGTTTTATCACATCCTCTACCCAATTCTTTGAGACAGGTTCTTACTGTGTATGTAGTTCAGGGTGACTTTGAACTCAGGATTTACTGGCTTCATCCTGGGTATTATTAGGACCTTGTGTGAGAGTCACCTGGCCCTTCTTTTTTTGTGAGACAGTCTTACTCTATGGGAAATTATAGCCGGAGCTCCTACCTGTAACCAACATGCACTCAGAAACCTAAGGAGAAACCTAAGGAGGGCTAGTTTGAGATACAGAGAGATATCCTATCTCAAAACAAAATAAATACACAAAACAAAAGTCTTTGAAGATCATGTAACATTTTTTTTTCCAAATTGTTTTGAGACAAAGTCTTACAGCTGACTTGGAACTCACAATATAGCCTAGGGTGGCCTCTGAGATCCATCTGCCTCTGACTCCCCAGTGCTAGGATTAGAGTCTGTGCCACTACACTGGGCTTCCTGTAACACTTTAAACTGTGTTTTGATACAGGACCTCACTATGTAGTTTAGTTGGTCTTAAACTCTTGATCATGTTGGCTCTACCTCACTAAGATAACAAGTGTTTGCTACTACACCTGGCTTGTATACAAATTTTAAAGTCAGTTTTGACTTTGAAAAATAGGCTTTATTTAATAATATAAAAGGTAAAAGTGTTTAGATAATAACAAGTCAGTCAGGCATAAAACATTACTGGCAAAATTTATCACCCCACCTGACGTGAGCTCTCCTCTTCTGTCCCATGTCTCTGTGTATACTGAACACTTATAGTGTGGGATGTTTATTGTGTTATGCAGATAAGTAATTACATCAATACACAACTACTTCTGCATCAGAGAAGTACTTAAAGTCCCGAAAGACCAGTGGCAAGAGGCATTTTAAGGCATGGCTCTTGACTTAAAACACTGTCTTCTGGCCCATGATGACTTCAGACGACAGTGGTGCAAAATGCCTTCTACCAGAGCAACTTCCAGTAGACTCAATCAGGACTCGAGGCTGAATCAGAGGAGTTCATGGCCTGCCTGGTTGAGTACCAAGCCAATCAGGGATGCAGAGATTGAGGCTGTCACAAAACAAAACAAAACAAAACCACAACCTAAAACACGAAAGTAGATTAAATCTTAGAGACAATGATTTAAGTGTATCAGAATGGGGTGCTAATATTGTGGAAAAACTACTGACGACCAATTTCTACTACAGAGGAAAACACCTCATCAGCAGATAGGATAGAAAATGACACAAAAATGGGTTACTAAACACCAGCCCACAATTAAAATGCTACGCTACCATGGCTTTAGAAAACTGGACCATTCTTTTGTTGTTGTTGTTTGTTTGTTTGTTTGTTTGTTTTGAGACAGGGTTTCTCTGTATAGCCCTGGCTGTCCTGGAACTCACTCTGTAGACCAGGCTGGCCTCGAACTCAGAAATCCACCTGCCTCTGCCTCCCAAGTGCTGGAATGCATGAAAGGCATGCGCCACCACCACCCGGCGAAAACTGGACCATTCTTACACACAATCTTTTTTGACCTTCTGGTAGAAATGACTGTTTCACGTATTCTGAAATATTAGAAAATAGTAAGCACTGATTACCTAATCAAGTAGCAGCAGAAGAGCAAGCTGAGGATGAAGACAAATACGGCAGTGCCAAAAACCACAATGTATATGTTGAGAGGCAGATTCTGGAATCCAATATTAGGCATCCTGAAGTTATAATGTGGGAAATCTGAGCTCATGGATGAACTGTGGAGAAATAAAGAATGGAAAAGAATTAGGTATGGACAGGCATCGTAGTGCATGCCTGTAATCCCTGTCCTTGGATGAATGAGGCAGGAGAATTGCTATGAGTTTGAGGTTAGCCAAAGCTACATAGCAAGATTGTAAAAAACGGCCGGGCGGTGGTGGTGCACGCCTTTAATCCCAGCACTTGGGAGGCAGAGGCAGGCAGATTTCTGAGTTTGAGAGTTCGAGGCTAGCCTGGTCTACAGAGTGAGTTCCAGGACAGCCAGAGCTACACAGAGAAACCCTGTCTCAAAAAAACAAAAAACAACAACAACAACAAAAAACCCAAAAAAAACAAAACAAAAAAATCAAAAACAAGATCATAAAAATCCAAACAAATCAAACCCAACCCCCCCCTTTAGAACTAAAACAGCATTATATATTTATACATGAGAGGCAAAAGGTTTCTAATGCTTGACCTAAACTAAGGTAAAGTATTAATATTATCTTCTTTCTTTCATTCATTTATCATATCAAATATTTACCAATTTTATTAGATTCAAAACATAGAGCATTTCAATTTACATTCATATGGCACTACATGAAATAATGTCTGTAATTAACACAAAAAGCCTTTAAGTACAAGAAGAAAAAAATTTATTAAAACTTCTCAGATTATCTAACTTAACTGACCCATTACTGTAACAGTATTCACCTCTTAACTTACTGGTACTTATAATGGTAAACATAAAAGTAACTCCTATGGTCTGGTAAGAGAGCAAGCCTGACAAGACAGTCCATACCTAGAAACCATAGAAAGGGGAGAGAAGAGCCTCCGTCCTGTGGCACATGACATACACAATAACAATAATCTCAGAAAGAGAGGATTAAGTAATTACATAGCATCAAATGTTACAGTCTGGCTATTTCTCAAAAAGTTTGATAATTAAAGAGTTGGGCCTGGTAATGCACAGCTTTAATTCCTATGATCAGAGGCAGAGGTAGGTAGATTTCTGTTAGTTGAAGGCTAGCTTGTCTACACAAGAAGTTCTAGGCTATCCAGGGGTATACAGTGAGAATCTAAAACTAAAAAAAAATAAAAAAATGAAAAACACAATTGGATTATCATGTGATCCAACAATTCCAGTCCTAGCAATATATCACAAATATCTGAGAACAACAATTCAAACAAATCTTAGCAGTACATTTCATTGTTGTTCAAAGGTGGAAAGGCCTAGATTCCTAATGAGATTAACAGGTAAACAACTGTGTGTGTCACCTACAATGGAGTCCTAGTCAGTCATAAAAAGTGGACTGAATTCCCTGGGAACCCACTGGCCAGAGAAGCACTCAATCTCCTAGTCTTACCCCCAGCTCTGCAGCAGACCACCTGCTGTGCTCCTCCCTCTCTGCCCCCATTCCCAGGACACTGAGCAGATCCTAGTGGAACCCCTTACTTTCTTTCCTCTTGTAGATCCCTTCAAACCACCCAACTCCAATCTCATTCCCAAGACCTAGAAATACATTTACCTGAAACCTCCAATGGCCACACCTGACAAGATCCCAGAAGAATCCCCTACCATGCAACATACCACACTCCTAAGATCCAGAAAGGGCAACAGAAAACAAGGAACAAAACACTACTCAAAGACAAGACTGATGTCAGAAATATCATCACAAACCCAGATGCCTAGACCCGGGCATAAAAGCAATAACAAGGACAGTATGTTTCCACTAGAGCCCAGCATCTTACTACATACAATAGGTCCTAAGGCTTGCCAACAGAGCGAAGCTCAGGACAAGGGCTTCAAAGTAGTCTTTATAAATATGATGGAGGATCTTAAGGAAGAAATGAATAAATCCCCTAAAGAACCCTATGAAACAGAAACAGAAGTGGAAGGAAATGAGTGAAACAATCTAAAACCCGTAAGTGGACATGGCATCAATAGAGAAAACCCAAACATCTGAGGGAAATCTGGAAATGAAAATTTAAGAACTTGAATGGGTACCTCAGAGGCAAGCCTTGCCAACAGTATACAAAAGACGGAAGAGAGACTCTCAGGCACTGACGGTACGGTATTTGAAGTGGATACCTTGGTCAAAGAACATGTTAAGTTTAAAAAAAAAAAAAATCCTGGCACAAAACAGCCAGAAAATTTGGGACACTATGATATGAAAAGACCAAATCTAAGAGAATAGGAATAGAAGAAACCCAGGTCAAAGGCACAGAAAATAGACTAGAAAAGAAATTCCCTTGGGCACAATATCAAAATACTAAGCATACAGAACAAAGAAAGAATATTTAAAAACTGCAAAGGAAAAAGACCAAGTAACATATAAAAGGCAGACCTATTAGAATAACACCTAACATCTTAATGGAGACTTTAAAGCCGTATGTAGAATAAAAAGATGTTCTACAGACTGAGACCATGGACGCTGTTCCAGACTACTATAGTCAGCAAAAATGTTCATCGAAAAGATGGCAGCCTGGGTGGGCAGAGCACACCGGAGATGACCCCAGACACCCAGAGGTTCCAGGTCCACTAAGATGAACAAGTAAGTGGTGGAGAGATGGAGACAGAGGTGGAATGGTGTGTGCACAATGAAGAGGGTAGTAAGGAACAGCCTGATATGAGTAGCCAACGATGTTCATCCTTAGTCACCAGGGAAATGCAAATCAAAACTACTCTGGGATATCATCTCAACCTGTCAGAATGGCCAAGATCAATAAAACAAATGACAGCTCATGCTGGCAAGGACGTGGAATAAAGGAAATCCCCATCTGTTGCTAGTGGGCCTGAAAGCTTGACCAATGGGGTTCAGTGTGGTGGTTCCTCAGGACGAGGGGAACCCATCTACCCCCAGAGCCACATCTGGGATATACACTCACAGGATGCTCCATCCTACCAAAGACACTTGCTCAATGTTCACCGCAAAAGCCAGAAATTGAAAATCTAGATGCTCCTCAACAGATATCTCACGACCTTTCTTTTATACTATCAATTTTAAAAGAACAAAAAAAAAAAAACTGAAAATGAACTAGATAATTAAATTTCAGAAGAATAAATCATGTAAGCCAGAAATAAAGGGAAAACCAAAAATAGATTAAGAGAAAAAAAACAAAAACAATAAACAAGTAGATGAGTCACTAACCAAACAAAACATTAAAAAAATGCTATTCTGAGACCTTTAGAAATTATTGAGAATTTGAATATTAATTTATAATTTAAATTATTATATTTTATAGGCATATAAACAGCCAAAGTGGCTCCAGAAGACCTGACTTTTAAAAACCTGTTGTGTCGCTGAGGACAAGCTCAGCAAGCACTCTATAACTAAGTTGTATTCTACATGGCTGCCTGGGGCTGCGTGGCCACTCTGCAGGCTGCTGTGCATAACTGGTGAGGAGCTTGGCATTTGTACAGTCTACAGAGTGTCTGTGCCTCTGAATGCACGCCAGTAAGTTCCCACTAGTCACAATTCTCACCACTTCCTGTCACTCACTGCGTTTCTGTTGCTATTTTTCTCTAAGGAGATCTGATTAAAGAAATGTTCACTTACATTCTCTTTTCTCATTTGTATAGTTTTATTCCTTAAATTTAAATGTTTAATCCACCTTGAATGTGATATTAGAAAACACTATGATGTCTAAGATGCCTAGTGCTTCGTATTAATTTAAGCACATTAGTAATTCATTCAGGGTGAAGCAGTAGTTTCTTTTTAGTATTTCAAAATTATTCTTACATAATCTTTTCCAGGTATGTTTATTTTTAAAGATTTATTTTTAATATGTGTAGGTACATCTGCATGTGTGCACATGCATATCTTGGAGAGCCTGCAGGCAGAGTTAAAGACCCACCCGAAGTAGGTACTGGGAACTGAACCTGACTCCTCTGGAAGAGTAGCAAGTGCTTGTAACCTCTGAGCCATTTGTCAAGCCCTCGGTTCTCTTGGGCTGAAAAGAATATCAAATGTATAGTTTACATAAGAACAGGTCTTGTTAAAGTCTGAATGCTTGTCTCCTTCCAAATTGATGTTAAAGTTTAATTTTGGTTGTAATAGTATTAACAGGCAAGACCTTTGAGAGGTGCAGAGCCATGGGCTCTTCTCTCATAAACAGATACCATGAGGTTGGTTTCTGTTGTTTTTTTTGTTTTTGTTTTTGTTTTTGTTTTTTTTGTTTTTTTTTGTTTGTTTGTTTGTTTTTCGAGACAGGGTTTCTCTGTGTAGCCCTGGCTGTCCTGGAACTCACTCTGTATACCAGGCCAGCCTCGAACTCAGAAATCCGCCTGCCTCTGCCTCCCAAGTGCTGGGATTAAAGGCGTGCGCCACCACCGCCCGGCATGAGGTTGGTTTCTAATAACAGGATCGATCTGGCCATTCTGACTATTGGCTTTTCTTTGTATTTCCACCATGTTACAAGGCAGCAGGAAGGCTCTTGTGAGAAGCTTCAAATCAAAAATGAGAAGTAAATTTCTGATAATCGTGTTTTGAGTGTGTATGGTATATATGTGTACACATGTAAGTGCTTGTGTTTGTGTAGGTGTTTTCCTCAAATGTTCTCTCCCTTTTCTTATGAAACAAGACTCTCACTGGAGTATTCTGACTTAACTAGATAGGGTTTCTCTCTCTCTCTCTCTCTCTCTCTCTCTCTCTCTCTCTCTCTCTCTCTCTCTCTCTCTCTTTCTGTGTGTGTGTGTGTAGACTGAATACCAGTGCACATGTGTGGAAGTCAGAGAACAATTTGTGGAGCCACTTCTCTCCACTCACAATCTTTGACTTATGAGGACAGACCCAGGCTTGCATGGCAAACATTTTACCTGCCGAGCCATCTTATTAGCTCTTAACCTTATTTTTAGACAAAGTCTCTCGTTGACCCTGAGCTCGCCAATTTAGTTCAACTTAGTTAGATGGTATATTGGTTAATTTTCCATTGCTATGACAAGACACTATTACCAAGGCAACTTATAAAATAAACATTTGATTTGAGGGCTCACAGTTTCAGAGGGTTGGAGTCCATA